ACAAAAAAGTTACTGTAAAAATAAATCTGATTCACTAGATCTCATTCGTTCATCCATGTGCTCCAGAGCACAGTACTATTAAATGGTAAGAGGTCTTAGGTTTACTAAGCATCTGCTATTTAATATAGTGGGCACTGTGCGTGGCACTTAAGAGCCATTTCTTCCTATCTTCACAATAAGCCCTAGGACACAGACATTATTGTTATGATCATTTTACAGATTTAAAAAAAAAAAAGGTTCAGAAAGGTCATTATTTGCCTAGTATATTGCAGACCCTAATTTGAAGTCATAACTGTATGATTTCAAAATCAATGCTCTTATCAGTACATAAAGCTCTTAGAAGACCCTTTCCTAATGTGAAGGCAAAGCTTCCTCACCGTGAAACCTCATTAATTCAAATAATGTGGTATGTAGTTTAAAAATCTGCAAATTACTTAGAGATCAGCTCAAGCAACACTTAAGACGTTTGTGCAATACCTAAAATGTACAGGAGATACAAGGGACAGAAGCAGCCAATGGCCACTGGAGAAAATGTCTACAACAGGACTTTTTCCAGTTAAAAATAAATCCAGCATCAAAAAGATTTCTATGCACAGGGAGCACATCAAAAAAAACAGCTGACACATGATGGGCTTAACACCTAGGTGACGGGTTGGCAGGCGCAGCAGACCACCATGGCACACGTTTCCCTATCCAACAAACTTGCACACATATCCCCGGAACTTAATTTTTTGTTTTAAAGTAAAAGTAAAATTTTAAATTTTTAAAAAGTAAAAAAAAAAAAAAAATTAGGTTCCTTTCATGACATTTTTGCAATACCAAAAAGTCTTAAAAGAATCTGCATTAGAATTCTTCTAAAGTAAAAAGATTACACAGAACTAGAGGACTAAAGTTAAATTAACTGTGCAGTTTAATCTTTAAAAATCGATTAGTCCTCATTTGATACTGATTGATATTGAAAAATACTTTCCCCTCACACATCAGTAGATGATTATATATGCAACACTCTATGTCAGAAATACTTCTTTCTTTAGTTGCTCTACTGATCTTCCTTCAGGTTAGAATATGAAATAAAATTAAAATTTTAAAATATAAATAAAACAGGCTGGGCATGGTGGCTCATGCCTGTAATTCCAGCACTTTGGGAGGCTGAGGCGGGAGGATCACTTGAGGGCAGGAGTTTGAGACCAGCCTAGGTAACATATGAGAACCTATCCCTACAAAAAAATTTTAAAAGTTAGCCAGGCATGGTGGTATATGCCTGTAGGCCTAGCTACTCAGGAGGCAGAGGTGGAAGAATCACTTCAGCCCAGAAGTTCAAGGCTGCAGTGAGCTATGATTACACTATTGCACTGCAGCCTGGGCAATAGAGTGAGAATCTCTTAAAAAATAAAAATTTTAAAAACCCAACAAACATTATCAATCACGTTCCCCAAGATCTATGCTTATCTACAAAGTTTCAGACAGAACAGAGTTTCAGAATATAACCATAAGATCTATTTTACCTGTCGAAAGAATTGCATGTCCTCTGTCTTTGTAAGTGGCTCTGGTATTTCCTTCAATTTCAGTTGTGATTGCTTTTGCCAGTAATCTTTTGCATGCTGAATAAGACTGTGTTTTTCAGTAGCTGGAGGTATAATAATCCCCTGCGTTGCCAAGTACTTAAATATGATGTCTCGGTGGACTTTTCTACGCCTCAGAAGTTCTTCTGCACTTTGACTGTATACTAATATTGCATGAACAGCATCTAGAAAGAAATTTCAAGATTAATAAAAAATCATGAGGCACTTACAAATTTGTGCCAGGTCAGTAGAAACTCTATCAAAGATTATTTACAAACTCTTGTCACAGCATTATTGCTGCTGCATGATAGCCCTCATTTTTAAAAAATAGGAAGTCTATTGTCAGTTTTTAAATTTTAATGTCTTTATGCCTTAAACTTCCCTTATCTAAAATCTCTTCTTTTCACTTCCCATAAATGACAGTGGAATTCTAGCATTTTCTCTTAGAGGATTGAATTTTAAGAACACATTCAAGCCAGAAAAAATATTTTTTCTAATAAGGCCAACAGTCCTAAATTCACAAAGAACCTCTAAAAATAGGGAAAATTACAAAATTTTAGATGTCAAGGAATTTTAGTCCTATCTCCTCACTCTACTGATAATGAAAGTTGAGGCCATATTAGGTATCAATTATTATATTTCCAGAAAGTGGCAGAACCAGGACTTATATTTTATTTTTTTATTTTTATTCTTCTGAGATGGAGTCTCACTTGTCACCCAAGCTAGAGTACAGTGGCGTGATCTTGGCTGACTGCAATCTACATCTCCCAGGTTCAAGTGATTCTCCTGCCTCAGCCTCCCAAATAGCTGGGGTTACAGGTGTGCACCACCACATCCAGCTAATTTTTGTATTTTTAGTAGAGACGAGGTTTCACTATGCTAGCCAGGCTGGTCTTGAATCCCTGGTCTCAGATGATCTGCCCGCCTTGGCCTCCCAAAGTGCTGGGATTACAGGCATGAGCAACATGCCCGGCTGACTTGTATTTTAAAAAATTTATATTAAACACAGACCAAAGAATAATTCAGACATGTGCGAGTTACACGGAATGGCAATAAAGCAAACTCCCATATGCATACCTCCTAGCTTAGGACATAAGAAATTACCACTCTTTGAGGTCCCCAATTTGTCCCTCCCTAATGCTATTGCTTTCTTCTCATCCACCTCAGAGTAGCTACTATCCTAAATTTCGCTCTAGGATTCCCTTTTTTTACAGTTGTACAGCATAAGTATGTATCCCTGAACTATATTTGGTTTGATATGGTTAAAATTATGCTATAATTCAATCCATCCATATACAGTATACAGCTTTCTGCAATCAGCTTTTCAATTAATATTTTCTGGATTAATCTAATACATAGCTAACTCATTTTCACTGCTATATCGTGGTCAGTTATATGAGTGTATACAAGGCATCTAACTACTCTGTTTACAGACTTCTGTTCTGTGTATCCAATTACAAATGCCGTTACTGTGAACATTCTCCTAGGTATCTCCCAATGCACAAAGGGGCAAGCAGCAGAGCATCATCCTGGAGCTTGTTAGAAACAGAATTTCTGGGCCTACCCTAAAATTAATGAATCAAAACCTGCATTTTAACAAAATCCCTGAGAGAGTCAAAAGGTTTGAGAAGACTAGGTCTCAAGTATGTGTCTAATCTGCCATTTTAGGAGATGGCAAATTTGTTTTTCAAAGTGGTAGTTTTAACTCACACTCCTTCACTAGCGAACTGCTTCACCCGATCATGAACACCTGAAGTTACAGTTTGTGTGTGTGTGTGTCTATATAGATTTTTTTTTTTTTTTTTTTTGCCAATCTGGTACATAGAAAAGACAACTTCTGTTTCCGGTTTTCATTTCATTAGTTTCCAAAGACGCTGAATATATTTTCATATGCCTGTTTTTCTTCCCCCTAAGAAATGTTTCTTCAAGTCATTTATTTTTTTTTTTCTTATTTGCTTTTAGATCCACTATCAACTAAACGCAGCATGTTGTCCATTATAATTTTAAATTCACACTCACCATGATTGTAAAAAGGTGAAAGCCATGTAAAATAAATGCTGAAGAACCATGTAAGTCTAAAACTATTTTCTGTCTTAATTCTTTGGAATTGCCTCTTTTAGCGTCCACGGTTCAAAGTGACAAATGGCTTTCTTCAATGCCAAAAATGAAATCCGACTTAAGCAGAAAAATCCAGTTTTAAAAGGGTAGAATCTTTTAAAAATAATAATATACTAAAATGGGGATCTGGAATTTTTCACGTTTTGAAGTAAAATTCAGCACATTTGAAATAAACCTAGCTACCCGATACGCAGAATGAACAAACGCTTTCTATTTTTACATGGACTAGTCACGATCAGGCTTAGTACCCTTAAAAACCCACAGGAATCTGTATTCAGCTCGCTTGTATGTATTCCTAGTACGAAAATCGGCTCAGGAAAATGTCGGCTCCAGAAGACCTGGATCCCAGGTACCTAGTATCTGCCTTTTTATTCCAGAAGTTGCTTTCTACCAGAGGCTGATGGGAAATGTTTGCCATCCCCTTCCCCCTCCAACTTGAAGGTGGAAGCAGCTGACTCCCTTCAGCAGATCGAAACTGAAAATGCAAAACATTCTGGCTCCCCAGAAAGTTTTTAAAAATTACTACTGACTTAGGTGAATCCTCGAATCAACAAGCAGTGTCCATATTACTGAAATGGATAAAACCAGGAAGCCCAACCACGGTCGCCGCCGCCACCTCCCTCCCTTGACCCCGCTGCCCAAGTCTGCGTCGTGGTTTCAGAGCTGTGGATCTGCGGCGACGGCGACCAGGATTCCCGAGGATGCTGCCTTAGCGGGGTCGGGGACTAAGTGGGTGCTGGGCCTCGAACCCCTTCCACTCCCACGCTCCAGCGACCTGGGGTCGGCGTGAGGCCTGGGGAGGGGCGGCCGCCTCCTACGTGAAGGGCCTGCTCTTACCTTGGCGGCTCTCAGGCTGCACCAGGCGGTTGGTGACGGTGTCGCACAGGGCCATGATCTCGTCGTTGTCCAGTAGGCCAAGTAGTTTACGGCAGCCCTCCATCTCTGGAGAGCTGAGTCGCGACATGTCGACCCCCGGGACGGGGGAGCAGGACGACGGCAACAACGTCGCCCCTGCCGCCCAGCGGGCCGGCGCCTAGGCAACAGACACCGGAAGTGCCTTCCTAGTAGCTCCCGGTCCGAGGGCCTTGAATATTCCAGGCCCCTGGGCGGAAGTAGTCGCCAAAGAGGTCGATCGAGAATCGAAGTGCTCCCACTAGAGGTTCCGGGCTGGGGACGGAGCGAAGTCCCACTATCTCAGTTAAGGGAAGTGCCGGGTTTACACGGAGAACAGAGGCGTTCCGCCAGGGAGCCGACTCCCGGAAGAGAAGTCCCTCCTCCAAAGCGGCGTCCTGGAGCGCTGCGCAGGTGCAGGTGCGTGGAAAGCGGCCCGCCACCCCGGCGCCCGGCGAGCTCCCGTGATGCCGCGGGGCCGGCCAATGGAGTCGGCTCCTCCCCGCCCGCGGGCCGGGCCCCCGGGAGCGCTTGAATGTCTTCTGCGGCCACTTCTGAGTTGGGTGAGCCGGCAGTTTGATTCCTTAAATTACGTAAATTAAAATAATTTTGTTTTGTTTAACAGGATAGTATGAAAAATTAAAAATAGGTAACCCACTGTGCCTGCCCGCCTTCCAGCGGACTTTCAAACACGCCGGGACCGTCTCCTGCCTCCATTCCCCTTGTTGCCTGCTCGGCCTTAGGAGAGGCGATGTCGTGCACAACTTAAGGTTGGGGGTTCTGGTCGCCAGATGACCAGGCTTTTACCCCGCCGTTTACTGTGACCGTCAGCACGCTCCGTAGCCTTTTCCCCTTGATGTTCTGAAGTGGATCTAGTAGGGACGCCTACCTCTTGCTGTTGTGGGGGCAGGGTGCAGTGCATGGGGCTGGGAGGAGCTGTTATCACTATTGGCATTGTAGCAACACACATTTCCGAAATAGTCATGCCCTGCCAAACTGGAGGCAGACCAAGTACATTGTCACTTGCCTTTTTCTCTTTCTAAGTCCTATTTTTGTTCCGTTGACATTTAATTAGGGCATTGCCATTAGTAGCTGAAGTGTACACATCTGCAGATCCTGCTGAGCAAATTTAACTTTGTTTAAAATATCATGACTTGGCCGGGCGCGGTGGCTAACGCCTGTAATCCCAGCACTTCGGGAGGCCGAGGCTGGGAGATCACAAGAGGCCAGGAGTTAGAGACCAGCCTGGCCAATATGAAGAAACCCCGACTCCACTAAAAATACAAAAAACTAGCCTGGCATAGTGGAAGACACCTGTAATCCCAGCTACTCGGAGGCTGAGAGGCAGGAGAATCGCTTGAACTCGGGAGGCAAAGGTTACAATGAGCCGAGATCGCGCCACTCACTGCACCGCAACCTGGGTGCCAGAGACCCTGTCCCCAAAATAAATAATAGCTAATTATCAGTCATATAGTGTACATGTAGTCTTTAAAACAAGGCATTCAAAATGTGTTCGAATTGTCAGTGGATGTTATTTGGGGTACCATTTACTCAACGTGTAGCAATTCTTCATTGTTTAAATTGTTAATGAATGCCTACATTGTTAGGTATTGAAGGTTGAGACAGGACCCTGGCCTTTCAAAGAGCTTTTGGGAGTGGTATTAGTAAGAAGATTACGAGTGCTAAAATACGTTGGTGTGGGACCATATGGAGGGCATGTCCTAACTTCTTTCATTCGTTCATTAAAAAGTTTATTATTGAGCACCTACTTGCCAGTTATTGTTCTTTGTTCCGGAGACAAAAAATGCTTGCATTTTGGTAGAAGGAAATACACAATAAACATATAAGAAACTATATGCTCGGCCAGGAGTGCTATGGAGAAAAATAAATCCAGAAGACGGGGATGGTAGAGGATGTTAGTATTTTATGCAGGTTGACAGGAAAGCTTCTTTATGTGACGTCGAAGATCAAAGAAAGTGAATGAACCGCAGGAAAAGCATGTTAGGAAGAAGCAACAGTAGAGATTTTGAGGAAGGAGTCCAGGAGACTGGAGCAGTTTGAGCAAGGAGGAGGCAATGAGCAACGTGGTTGGAGTTGTAGTTCCGACTCATCTAAAGCAGGGTTTCTTCGTCATAGAACTATTGACATTTTTAGCAGGATGATCTTTTGTTGAGGAGATTGTCCTGTGCATTGTAGGATGCTTAGCACATCCCCATCCTCTACCCACTAGGTGCCAGTAGCACCTCCTTCCCGTGCTGTGGCAACCAAAATTACCTCCAGACATTGTTACATGTCCCCTGCAGGGCAAAATCACCCACAATTAAGAGCCACTGATTTAAAACCTGTCAAGTTGCTTTTCGAGATATGAAAATGTTCTTTTTTGCTGTCCAGTACAATAACCATCAGCCACATGTGGCTCTTAAGGTTCTTAAAATGTGTTTAGTGCAATGTAGGATCTGAATTTCAAGTTTTATTTGAATTTAAATTTTAATAGCCACACATGGCTAGTAACTACTGTCTTGGATAGTCTAGGTCTAGAATATTCTAAAGCATTATATGGACTTGGGGCTTTTATTTATTTATTTATTGAGACAGAGTTTTGCTCTTGTTACCCAGGCTGGAGTACAATGGCGTGATCTCGGCTCACCACAACCTCCACCTCCTGGGTTCAGGCAATTCTCTTGCCTCAGCCTCCTGAGTAGCTGGGATTACAGGCACGCGCCACCGTGCCCAGCTAATTTTTTGTATTTTTAGTAGAGACAGGATTTCACCATGTTGACCAGATGGTCTCGATCTGTTGACCTCATGATCCACCCGCCTCGGCCTCCCAAAGTGCTGGGAGGGGCTTTTATTTTTTATCTTTGACTTCCTTACTATTCTGTCAATCTCTCCAGACTAGTCAGTGGTTCCCTTATCATTTGTTCCTTCAACTTGCCATACATGGTCTTGCCCCAAAGCATTTACTCTTGCTCCTGGCATATTCTTCCCTTGGATATCTGAATGGCTCTTACCCATACTTTATTCAAGTTCCTGCTCAAAAGTCACCTTATCAGAGAGGCCTCACCTCATCATCTTGCTTAAAATCACCACTGACATCATGCTTACTTACGCATTTCCTCCACACTTTATTTTTCTTTATAGCACTCATACTGTATGTTTGTTGTCCCCCAGTAGAGTCTGAGCTCTGTGAAGCAAGGAGTTTTGTTTTTCATTGCCTGTTACATTGGCCAGCACATGGCAGGTATCCAATGAATATTTGTTGAATAAATGAATGAGCTTTGAAGGTACTGGCAGGTTTTAAACAGGGATAACATATCTGACTTGTCTCAGAACAGGATTACTTTGGCTGCTGGTGTGAAGACTGAAGGGAGGGAAGGGTAGAAGCAGGGAACTCAGGAGACAACTATAATAGTCCAAGTTAGAGAAAATGGTGCTTGAATTAGAGTGAAAGACATGATATTAGTCAGGGACGGTTACAAGGTTTTGGTTTGGGCAACTAGTTGCCATTTATTGAGAGGAGGAATGCTGGGAAAATCAAGAGATCTGGCTTTCTGGCAGAGTGGTGATGCTTAGGAAGGATTAAATCAAAGAATGAGAGATGAGATGGGGAGAAAGGTGAACAACCAGTAAAGGGGACAGTAGTGAAAAATGCATGGACTAAAATAGCATCCTGAGAGTAGGTGGGGTTTCAAATATGGCTGGAGCCAAAGACAGGGTATAGGAGCCATAACATGAAGAGAAATTTAGCAAAATTATGTATCAGTGGAATATACAGCTCTCCACAACCATAAAACATTCTAGCTAGAATTCGCATATGACGGACCCCACATCTCTTGGCACTGTCTCCATTAAATTCTGTTCCGGTAGGAATACAACTTGAGCAAAAAAACAACAAAAAACCCTCTAGAGCAGTTTGGGATATGAGATTGTACTACTAAAGTATCCTTTCACCCAACAATTTAACCTATTCATAGGGAACTTCTTTAAATGTCTTGGAAACTACTTTTTAGAAGGTTCTATAAATTTAAGGGTAAACAGTTTATCTTCTCGGGAAATACAAAGAAGCTTATTGCTTTAGATCTATGATTTTCAAACCTTAGCTTGTATCAGAATCACCTGGAGAATTTGTTAAGGCAGATGGCCTCCAAACTGACCACAATTTAGCATTTCTAACAAATTCCCAGGTGATGCTGGCTCTGCTGCTCTCGAAACCACACTTTTAAGAATCAGTGCTAGAAGATAATACTACATCAACCAGAATTCTCTCTCCCAGGCTTCATCCTTTGACTCTGAAATCACTGATCCTCAGGCAAATCTGACCCTATTTGGATTATTAGATCCACTCATGCTCTGCCTTTCTAGGGAAAACTGTGTGGCACAATGGAAACATGGTTTTAGGACACATCTGATTTTTCAGTCACCCTCTCCATTTATTAACTATGTGACTTTAATCAGGTTAACCTTTCTGAGCTTTGGTGTCTAAAGAGCAGAGTTCATATTTACCCTTGAGTTGTGAGAATTAGATGGAGCTTATGTAAACAAGCCATTTCTTCCTCCAGTGTGCAGTACCCATCAATAAGGCATGAAACTTTCTACCATTTACAATTTTTATTCCAAGTATTAGTTGATTGTTTGAAATCTTGATTTACAGTTAAAACATGTTTTATCAGTTGATTCTTGAAATCAGTACAGATATTATGCTATGAAAAGCAGCTTAAATTGGTTATCTTGGAAGCTTATTTAGTAGTATTTACTTCCCAGAATTCCTCAAATTTCAGAAAAGGAAAATGAAGTTATCTAAACCCCAATAACTCTGTCCAAAAACCACAATACGCTCATTGTTCTGAATATGGAATATATTGAGTCTAAGATCATACAACCATAAATCAGACTGATAATCTTAGATCTCAATTCTAGAATGCTTTAGTAACGTTTTCATAGTTTCAAGGCATAATGCTTGTAATATGCACAAATCATTTTATCCCATTATCTACTGCAGTGTGATCTCATTATTATCGAAAGTATTTTTTTCCCTACTTAGAGCCCCATTTTATCCAATTGCAAGTTACAGCAAATATTATGGAGGGTTTTCCTTTGTTAGTGAGCCAAAACAGTAGGAGCCCTCTTGCTCAAGGGCATCACTTTTGGTTACAGCTTATTGACTTAAATATTTCCCCATTGAAATTATTTCCTAGGAAGTAATTTTCATCATCATTTATATTGTAATATTTCAAAATGATTTCAGTCTTTGTTTTTTTAAGTTGTACCAGAAGCTCTTCATTTTCTGACAGATTTATCTACTCTCTTACCTTTGGAGTGTTCCTACACTTACTAAGTTTGCAAAGTACTCTATCACACCGAACCCACTTACCTGAAGTGACTTTAGTAAAACAGAATTCTGTCAGCTTTTATTCCTGCATACAGGCATTCATTATAATGTCCAAAAGTGCCTATTTTGTGTAAAATTTTAGATGTTTCTATTTTTGATAACGTTTTAAAAATCACTCAATGCAAGTATGGTGACTGAAATATGCCATTCCTTTGTGAGACATAATAGGTATCATTTCATGTATACCTCATATAAGTCTAATTCCTTCTGAAAGCAATGTATGTACTACATAAAATTGAACACTTGATTACCAACAAGGACAATGTTTTATTGAACAAATCTATGTACAGTACAAAAAATTTCTTGAAATGAGACACTATTGTTGATTTATTGCAGTTCAATGGCTCAGTTTTAATTTGTACTCTTATAAAATGCAAAGTAAAATAATTTAATGTTCAACAAGGAAGCACAAATTTCCTTTCTTGCTGAATCTGTAATATCTTTCACATATTAACAATTCCAAAATGCATATGCAGCATTTTACTCATTCTGAAAAGGTGTTTTACAGTACCAAATAAATTAAAAAATAAACACTATCATCCCTTTTAGGTTTTTCATCCATACAACAGTATTAAACGGAACATGAAAGGAGTACAGCTGAACCTTCAGTGTGATTTGAAAAGAATCACAAGTTCAATGATACAAATTACTTACGTATTATATAATTGGTGGTTTTGGAAAAATGAATATGGCTAAAGCCCAAAGTACCAGTGTCCTTGTCCACGGAAATTCCCCTTTTTGCCTCCTCATAATATCTGAGCAGCAAAAATTCAGATTTGCTGTCTTCTTGACCTTACTGACACACAGCGGAAATTTAACATTTAATTTTTTTGAAGGAAATTTTTATTTAAAAACAAAGATTTGAAACTTGGTCCATGTAGGATGAATACATCCTCAAAACAGGAGAAGAAAAGGAGAAGAATCTGAGGAATAAGAAGCAAACTTCCTTTTTTTCTGAAGCTCAAATTAGAACCCTTGGAAGTTTATGCACTCTATAAAAGCAAAATGATGTAGGTTTATGTTTTAAAAGACACAAAATAAAATGAACACATTCTTTCAATAGCTATTTGAGAAGTATATAAACCGAGGTTAGAACAGTGTGGTCAAATAGAATTTTATAAAACATTCCTTGATTTAGTTATATATAAACCAGTTTGATCTCAATCTTTCAGAAATAATTTTCTCTTAGCAACACAAAAGTAGAAATAAACCTCAAAGACAAATAACAAATGGAATATATTTAAAACATCTTGGCATGAACAGTAAAAGTAATGAAAATGGAATACTTTGTGGGCATGGATTTATGTCAATTGTACAACTTGTAAAAAATGTGATAAAATATTAAGTTAAACTTCTGGAAAATGTACAAAGCAGAAATTATATTTAAAAAAACTTCACTGTTCAAATAAGCCAGTTTCCAAACAGACTTTTTATTATATGACATACTTTTAGAATGAACTGAAATAAAAATCATTACATTTTTAGTATCAAGAAATACAAAAAACCTTTTTTTTAGCTGACCTTAAAGAAAAGATTTTAAAACTTGATTATGAATTGTGTTTAGTTACCTAAATGTAAATTCCACAGCCTAATGTAGGCTACATAACAAAAACAAATTTAAATTTGGAATGGACTTAATGGCCATCATTGCATAGTAGTGAAAGTTGATGATAAACTAATAAAAGCCGGGAAATTAAAAAAAAATCATCTGATCTATCATGATCTGGAAATCCTAATAAAATACAGATGCTACCTGGAAGAAATTCCCCACTTTCAGAAGCTCTAATATAGTAGGGTCTGATGGGATAATCTGCCTTGAACAAAGATTTTATTATTTAGAATAACTGGAATATTTGACATTGGGACAGCAGTAGATCTGCTTTGAAACAGTTTGGCTTTTTATCACTGTTTTAGATTTCACACTATTAGGTAAAAGAAGGCTTTAAGCATCTTCCTTTCAATAATGGACAAGTGGAAAACATCTGAGGGCCTTTTTTAAAATATTTATTGTTTTAACAATTTATTAAGTTAAAATCTTCCCTGGGAAAATAACTTATCACCAAGGAAAACAATGCATGAATGTATTTTATTGTGTTCTTCTTGTGCAAATGCTTCCTTTTACATATAAAAATTACTATTCAGACCAGACTCATCACTAATGAATTAAAAAACAGGAATAGTATGGCTTATTTTGGAATTACCTCTCCTAATAGAATAAAATGAATGAATTCTCAACCTGATTCTTAGCTGATTTTTTGAGCCAGTTGTTTTAATAGGACTGTACTTAGATAACTCACATTAATGTCTAAAGGACCTTACTATGAATCATCAAGCAATGTCCTAACATATATACAAATAGAAATATCCCAGTGTGCTTTTACCATTATTCACATTGAAGAATTTGCAATTCAGTGTTTTCCTTCAACTACAAAGCCTGTAAAGGTCTTAGATTCCTTTCATCTCCCCAGAGTATCGACACTGCTGCCCTTTACATGTAACTAACATATACCACAAAAGTGGTTGGTGGGAGGTTCTATCAAGAGCTTACTAGCAAAGCACTGTGTTTTTTTGTTTTGTTTTTGAATTTTCAATGCTGGCATGCCATTCATTGAACTTTGACCTAATTAGTCATCTGGGAACCAGTTAGAATCTTTAATTGATAGCACTGTGGTAAGTTAATGTATAAGTTTCTAAATCATATCACAAACCAAACAGCAGCGGTTCCTTAAACCATGTTTGACCAGAGGGAGGGGACATAATCTGATTATGCATGACAAGAAAACAAACCCCATTTGTAGAATAAGACTTTAAATTGTTTATTATTGTAAATCACCCCCCTTCCCCACACACACTTTTTCATAATGGGTTAACTTCTCCCTTTCTGTAAGGCCATAGCTGGTTTTCTGATTAGTTGCCTAAGCATGTTTCTCATATAAGCGAAACTGAACATGCTGCTGCTATTAATCATAAACTTTTTAAAAATGTGGCTTTCTGGAAAACTGGTACTTTGGGAGTTTTATAATAACCCTTTTGGAGTCTAAGCCAGCACATCTCCTCTGTGAGTTCATTCTAGAAAATGTGCTTTGTCTTTATCTTTAGTAATCCGAGACCACTCTAAAATTAAGGCCATCAGGGAAATAGCAAACTGATGATGCATTTTCTTATAGTGCTTTTTTCACACTACTGCTTGATTGGCAGATCTTTCTGAAACATTTTTATCAGGCACCTGTAAAATGGAACACATCTGTTAATTCAAGTTTTACGACGTTTGACTGTAATTCCAACTCAGATTCCTGTTTAATTTATACCCTGTCATTTTAAAGGATACTGATATTAGTAGAAAAGTAAGCTCTTTTTCTGATTTTGTTTCTCAATTATTTTCTGTTCTTGTTTTACTTCTATTTTTCGAACAGACACAGATTCACTTGATTTATATTCTGAAATGCATATGAAAAATAATTCCCATCAAAATTACAACTTTCATTACATGAAACTTGGAATGAAGAAAAACCTTTGATACAATAATGGAAGAAGTATAATCAGAGAATATGAAAAACCCGTGTTCAGGTTCTGCCTTGCAAGTTCATAGGCAAATGCCTATCCCAATTACCTGTGAATTTCAGTTACCTGATCTAAAACAGTAGTATTAGCATCACCTCACACTGGTTGTATGTATTAAAGAAAATAACACATGGAGTAGGGCAATCTCAAGGATCTATAATTGTTATATTTATGCCATTTTCTCTTTCTACAGATATATCTACTAAGAAGACAAGACTTACTTTCATCATCTGAATCAAATCCAAAGAGTGTCTGACATTTCTTTTGTGCAAGATGAGCCTCAAGTGCTTCTGCATTACAGTAGGTGGTCAGGCATTTGCCACATCTTAATCTTTTCACTGATTTTTTATACACGTTATCTTGATCAGAACAGGCATCTACTCTATCAGTCAGAAATTTTCTGCGTTTTGGCATACTGAGATACCGTTCATCAAGGTAACTGGGAGGCAATGGTCTGACGTATGGTTTTGTTAAAATTAAGCCATACGAAGTATGTTCACTTGTCAAATTTGGTTTGGAAGGTGCCTGAGATACTGGCAAGGTATTGTGTTCTTGTGGTACAACACTGGGTAAAACGGAACCATTTTCTGTCCTGATTCTGTTTGTATCCATTTTCAAAGCAGGATTTGACGAAACTAAAGGTGTTTGCTCTACTTCACTGTGTCCATTGACTAAATCACTACTACTACAATTATTTTCAGAATTTGGCTCTATGTCAGGCATCTTTTGGTCTATCAAGCTTATATTTGAAACAGTGTCATCAGAACGTTCATTTCCATTCTGAACTAAACTGTCTGTTTTCTTTTCCATACTTTCTATACATGTCTTTGGTTCTGTAGAATCTTTCCTTGATTTGCTAGTAGAAACTGGCAGACTAATAGTTTGTTTCTCATTACTAGATGAGTCTTTTTCCTGATGAATAGGATCTGAGTCTGTATGAACATCCCAAAGAATTGTTTCACTTGGTTGTGCAGATGATTCTGGTGTTTTACTTAAATAGTGCTGAGCTTCATGTTCATATAGCAGAGGAAGATCTTCAAAAAGCTCATGGCATTCTGGGAAACTACACTGAGCTTGAAATATCCTGTGACTTTTTATATGCTGGGCAAGCTGGAATGGCAGCTTAAATGACTCATTGCAATTAAAATGCAAACAAAAATACACATTTGGATAGCTATGTCTATTAAGGTGGTCTATGAAATGCTGAGAATCTTCAAACTGCCTTTGACAATATTTGCATTTTCCTTTGCTCCACTTCATTACTGTTTGTCGCACATTTAAATCAGTTGGATGTACGGTCATTGCATGTTTATTTAGAAATCCAATTCTTTTAAATATTCGGACACAGCCAAGAGCAGGGCACTTAAAGTTTCCTTCTTGATCTGTGGCATATATGTCCTTTGGATGGCACACAATTCCATTGATTTTATGAATTATTGAAGTTTCTTGATTCAGGTCATAATCATCTTCTTCATAATCACCTTCTTCATCCTCTTCCTCCTCATAATCATCCCCACATTCAGGTAAAGGCTTCAAGACATTATTTAAAGAAGTATCAGGACTGCCATTTTCAATAACATCTTCTGGTACACTTATGGGAATTTCAATGAGTTCAGCCACATGCTCAGGGGTGACTTCCTTGTTTCCGTCACTAGAAGAAGTAAGAGTCTCTACTGCCAAATCCTTCCTATCAGAATTCCCATTTTCAAATGAAATGGAAGAACAATTTATTTCTTCCAAAGCAGTGACTTCCTGATCATCCTGTTGAGCTGCAGCAATTTGCTGTCTCTGTATCTTCTTAACATGATTCTTTAAATGCTTCTGCATAAGTCCTCTGTTTCTAAATTTCCTACCACATATTACACATGCAAAACTGCCTTTTTTCTGATGAGCCTGGGCATGCCTTACAATGTGACCACCTAGAAATTCCTTGTTACATAACATACAACGATGCCTTGGGACATTGTGATCTACTCTGGAAGTATTAAGAGCTGTAAGGTTTTTCTTCGTATTGATTTGACCTTTAGGCAGCACTCCAGATGCATCATCAGGATCAGTCTCTCCAGTGCTCTGATCTGTAAGAGAGTCAAACCCTTCATCCAATCCTTGCTGTTCCACTGTCCTTTTTAGATTACCTGCATTATTTTCCAGTGTGCTTTCGCTTAGAAATCTAACTGCTGATTTATCACTCAATAATGCTACACAGTTTTTCTTAATCATTACAAAGTTCCAAAATTCAGGGTCAAAGAACAATCCCTTTTTCAAAATTGGAAGTAATTCAAAACGAACACGATTTTGAACACTACTTGTGCCTTCATTATATTCTTCATCTGGACGTTTGTAAAGCTCTTCAACAGTACGATATGCTTCTAAGGAGCGCTCCAGAAAAAATATTGAGAGTGCACAAATCCTGAGGATCTCCAAATCATTTGGCAAAAAATGTGCAATTGTTTTATAAATCAGACATTTCGTTTTGGGGTCATCATGAAGGTCGAGTTGCAGAGCACAACCACATATTTCCACACAAATTTGCAAGCCTTCTTCTTCAACCTGTAAAAAGAACAATATTAGTGCTAAATACTTCTTTTCTTCCAAAAAGATGGTTATACTAGTCCATCTTTAAAAAAATACAACTCTTAAAATGAAAGCTAAATAAACATGGTATTCCAATGTGCAATTTTCCTTATTTAGCAGCCTTCACTCTTTATAGACCTTTCTCTCTTTTTTTTTTAACCTTGGGAATAATCTGGAATAGATAGCCTTTTAGCTTCTAATTTGTTTAATTTTCATGTCTCACAAGCCCTACTACCCATAATACAAAATAGACTTATGGTGATTCATAAACTTATGGTGATTAAGATTTCTTATACTTCTAGACCCCCACTTATTATTTTAGGTACAAATCTCATATTCTTTGAGAGAAGGGTCAAAATTACATGTATTTTAACAGATTTGTCAATTTTCCACATCAAGAAATAAAGTAGGCTTAAAAAAACTGCCAGTGGGAACTTTTATTAAAATGCTACATGAAAAAATACTACTTATTTTGCTTATTAAGTAATGTTATTTATCCAAGTTGTCGACCCATCTTAGTTATAGTAGTGTCTCTAGTGGTTTGGAATAATCTAAATGCTTATTTTGATTGGAAGAGCCACCACAATAATGTCCTTAACATTGTATTTATGTACATACACCATACTGCCTACATATGGTATATTATAGATTACAGGGAGGACTACTACCTTCCTAGCCTCACGTTTTCTTAGTCTCTTACATGCTGTGTAACCCTGCAGAACTACTTACCACTCCCACAGGCAGACCTTAACTTTACGTATCCTATTCTCACTTTATCCAGCTAGTTAAATTCCTACTGATCCTCCTATTCATTCTTTGAGAATCAGTTCTGCTCTGAAGGTCTCTGCCCTGAAGTACAGTTAAAATTCCCCATTCTTTCCACCAAGAATAACTTATTTTTTTAAAAATTTCCATTTTTGTTTTTTTTTTTTGAAACAAAGTCTCGCTCTGTCGCCAGGCTGGAATGCAGTGGCGCAGTCTCGACTCACTGCAACCTCTCTGCCTCCTGCGTTCAAGCAATTCTCCTGTCTCAGCCGCCCGAGTAACTGGGGCTACAGGCGTGCGCCACCATGCCCAGCTACTTTTTTTTTGTATTTTTAGTAGAGACGGGGTTTCACTATATTGGCCAGGATGGTCTTGATCTCTTGACCTTGTGATCCGCCTGTCTCGGCCTCCCAAAGTGCTGGGATTACAGGTGTGAGCCACCACGCCCGGCCTCCATTTTGTTTTATAAACATCTTTGTATGTGTGTATCCTCACCCAACTTAGAATTCCTAAATTACAGGGGACAGTTTCTCATTTTTTATATTTCTCTATTGTTAGCATAACAGTTGGTGCAGTAAGCTCTGAATAAACGTCTGCAGAATGAGTGAAAATCAGACCTCTTCCATGTACTTAGATAAGCCCATCATCTACAACCTGGAATCCTTTCTGAATTCCAACTTATTTCTAAATGTCAAATATAATTAGACTTTACTACCTAGATTTTTCAGCTACAGCAAATTCAAAATCCATTCATTCAAAACAGAATTCCTTTTCTTTCTGCAAACTTCTGTCTATATCCTCTATCTTTTTTATTATTTTATTTTTTTGAGACAGAGTCTTACACTATCACCCTGGAGTGCAGTGGCCTGATACTGGCTCACTGCAACCTCTGCCTCCTGAGTTCAAGCAGTTCTCCTGCCTTAGCCTCCCAAGTAGCTACGAGCCATCATGCCTGGCTAATTTTTGTATTTTTAGTAGAGACGGGGTTTCACCATGTTGGCCAGACTGGTCTCAAACTTCTGGCCTCTAGTGATCCGCCCAACTTGGCCTCCCAAAGTACTGGGATTATAGGCATGAGCCATTGTGCCCAGATTACGTCCTCTATCTTGGCTCATAAAATTATAACGTATACAGATGCTCAAGTTTAAAAATGTTAGTATTATCAAAAAAGAGAACAGGCTACTTCCTTACCTGAAATCTTTTGATGGTCCCAGGATATTTAGGAATTGAAGTTTCAGTTTGTTCAATGAAATGCATGAATTGTAGCATTCACAACCCTTTAAGTATCTCCAACAACCACTCCTACCACACACAGTCTCTCCGTTAGTCTCATCTCCCTCCCACTTCCCCACATTTCTGTGTTACCCTTTGTCACCAGATGGTTGTAAAAAACAAATAATAAAATGAAGAAAAAGTGCTCTGTAAACTATAAAAGTCTATACAAATGTTAGTACTATTCTCATGTCATTAAAACCTCAGCTTGAATATTTCTTCTGTGAACCCTTTTGAGATGTGCCATCTATAATGTCTCCTGAGCTCACATAGTATTTATGACTCTTCACAGTACTGAGGCGATTGAATGATTTATTCCAACAAATCTAAGTCTTTTTAGTAGAGTATAAACAGTTAAGCATCATATTTTAATACTTATTTTGTCTTTGAATTTTCCTTTTATAGTATATTATGAGGTTTACCACACATGTGAAAATAAGAAAGCTCTGTGATGTCTGGCAAAACCTCACTTACATTGTAAACTTTCTATAATAATATATCTCAATTTATGGTATAAATAAGAATCATGGTACAAAAATATGGATACATCTTTATTTTTTTAAATTAAGTTTTACAGGTGATTCTAATGCACATCAGAGGTTAAGATGTGTTCTGTAATATAGTTTTCCTTTTTTGCTGGAAGGGGAGGTTAACTTTGAGAATGCATTTGAATGATAATTCACTATTTAATAAGCATACCATGAATGCAATTAGCAAAATAAATTAGAAATAAAGAAGAAAAAAACAAAGCCTCTGATAGAATGCTGCCAACTTTGTATCATGGTAATATGTCATTGCATGATCACACATCTAATGAGTAATGTGATAATGAATGTGATAAATGCATAGATACGTAAAAAATTAAAATGTAAACACGTCCTTATGTATTTAAAAGTGACCAACATAAAGATTCAGTTTAATGGTGCTACCTAAAATGCAAAGTGGTTTTATCTTTATACTCAAAGTCCTATTGATATTTTGGGGGAAAAACTAAAAGATCTGCAGGATCCTCTTTCATGTCTACATGGCCTTAAAATCTTCCTTTCCTTCAATTTTAAAATCAAGTAAATTTTATTAAAAGAGATTCAAGTTTCAGTGAACTGTTACTTCATTTTAAATTCAAGGGATAAATATATCCTATTTACCTCATCTTTAATGATTTTCATGAAAGGAAATATGACTCTCACATTAGTTGCTGTTCTTAAAAGCTGGTAGCACTGATCTACAAAAACTTGTTTGGAAGGATGAGATTTAAGCTGTAGTTTGCTCCATATGAAAATCAACTCCCTGTAAATGAGAAAAAAAGAGAATTATCACAAATATAGTTGATTTAAATACAGACATTAGCTATCTTTCCCTGATTCTACAGTGCCCTGGCTGGAATGTATATGAGTGTAAATACGTATTACATTCACCCCCAAGCTACTTCTGCTACCTATATGAGAGTAAAATAAGTTGGGAGAGAAAGAAAGATCAGAAATTACAATGTACAGTGGTAAGGAACAAATTCAAACAATATGCTGGCACACCTAAGATGTTTCCGTATTGGATCAAAACAGAAATTCTAATCCAAATGTAGCAATACTGATACTACTTAAAAATAATAAACTTTGGCTTTTAGTTAAGATTTTACTTCTAAGGTTAGAAACCAATGTTGAAGACTTTCTATAAAGAAACGGTTCATATTTTTCATTTTCAGTTTATTAAGATATCAGATGTACTAAATAAAACTGCAAGTATGTTATAGAATTGACTAAGAAATAGTATGTTTCAGATTTTCTACTTTTAAACAGGCAGGCTATGGACCATTTGAACTGTTTCATAGGTAGATTCTGTTCTAAAATATGGCCACTTATTGATATATATATGATACACAAGGCTAGGAGCACTGGGTTTTGAGGCAAAGGCAAATCACATGATAGAGCTGATATGTTTGGATGTCACATTTTAGCAAATTAGAAGTCTTTAAAATGTCATAAAAGTGTACAAAGCATCATAATCTAAAAGTATTAAAATAATGAAAATATTTTTAAAAAGGGATTTACTGAGCATATGCTTTGAGTTCAGCACATACAGGCATTAAATCTAAGGAGAGCTTGATTACCATCATGAGGGTGCACATAGTCTACTTAGACAATACAGAAAACACAAAACAGAAAATGACAACAAGCAACACATGAGAAGTAAAACCAGAATTCCACTTCTCTTTCACACTAGCTATTTATTAAGTTTCAGTGCACGAACTCCTTTTTTGCACCCATACTCCTTTAGAACTCTCACGAGGTTTCATGCCTTCCTACCACGTCTCTAGCTTTTACTGCTTTCCAGTTGTCATGCTTGGGTATTTCCATTTATATTGCTTTCCATCCCCTTAACCCACTCATAACTAGTCATATTCCTGCAAAATTGATGATTTCCTAGATCAGTCACTGACAGTAAACATTCCTCTATCCTGGTCTGGTTCTAACCTGTGTATCTTGCAGGGTCTTACATTTCAAGTCTACTTTTGCTCTCATCTATATCATTCTTTCTCAATGTTACCACATTAGGCCCTTTGATTTTACAAACATACTTCTACAGTGGTTTCTAACCTGATCTGTTTTCAGCCTCTCGGATTACATTTCATTTAGTGCCTACTCAATATGCTCTATAAAGTTAATAGCAATAGAAATGTGGGTTTTAGAGTTAGAAGGTTCAGGATTTAAACCTTCTTAGGAACTCCTTACTCTCAGCTAAACTCCTTCATTTATTCTCACTTTTGTTTATGCTGACTGCCGTACTTGGAAAGTACTTCATTCCTAAGATAAGCTTTTTTTTTTTTTTTTTTTTTTTTTGAGACAAAGTCTCACTCTGTCGCTCAGGCTGTAGTGCAGTGGCTGGATCTTGGCTAACTGCAACCTCTGCCAGCTGTGTTCAAGCGATTCTCCTGCCTCAGCCTCCTAAGTAGCTGGGATTACAGGCTCCTGCCATCATGCCTGGCTAATTTTTAAATTTTTAATAGAGACAAGGTTTCACCATCTTGGCCAGGCTGGTCTTGAACTCCTGACCTCGTGATCCACCCACCTCAGGCTCCCAAAGTGCTAGGATTACAGGCATGAGCCACCACACTCAGCTTATCTTTCAAAGGCTCTATATCAAGTATCTCTTCAGGAAAGCCTTCATGAATACCCCAAACTAAAGTGATACCTACTTCAGGAAAGATCTTATCCCTGTTACTGATTTCATGCCTATCATATGCCTCCTTGTTTAGATTTTATAGGTCCTACCTATTTCCCCAACCATTAATATATTGTAAATATATACCCTGACACATTGTTTAGTCAGTGCAGTGGCAAGAACATGAAATTGGAAATAAGAGAGACCTAAATCTCAATACAGCATTATACACTAATTGGAGTGGCATACCCAGTTCAATAAGCCACCCTTTTCCAGGAAAAGCCCAATACACAAAGGTAGAATAGCAGTGGCCATGTCTCCACTGTAACCCTCCTCTGCACTCCCCTTCAGATATTAATTCAGGGGTGAGAAAGTGATCCCCGCCAGGCTAGTCAGAATCTCTGGGATGCTCTCAACTCTGAACTACTAAGCTTAGGGGTTGCTGATGCTCCTCTGGTCTGCAGCGAGAGAGACTTAAGCCAATGACAGAAGCATTAGCAATCTCAGCATCCCCGGTAGCAGTTACCTTTGAGAACCAGCAGTGGCCTTCCATGGAGCTTTCATGTAGCTCATCCTGCTGCACCCTAAATCCTTTTTTCCTACACTGGTTAGGCACAGATGCTATTACTTACAGACTAACTAGTACAAATTCCAGCTGCATCTCTTACTAGCTGTATGACTGTTACCTCTTTTATACAGTTTTCTTATACATAAAGGTCGGGATTCTTCCTATTCAATATCTTTATTAAAAGAATTCAGAGAGAGAATTGAAAAACTTAGGTGAACTGTCTGGCATATACTTCCCCTAAATGCTGAAAGCATTTAAAATGTACATTGCAATATCCTAATAAGTTTGCCAAGAGAAGGCTATCAGGATGGATCTTTGCTTTTGAGCAGGCAAAGCAGAAATCTCAGAATAGTGTTATGAAGCTCCATTTTGACTGGATTTACAACATGGGATCTGAGGTTTTAGTTGTACAGTGGATTCTGAAGGAAAAAAAAAAATTCCGAAAACCATCGATAGTCTTCTTTTAGAAGACCAAACAGAGCAGGTTTAATGAAGCTTTTATACATTTTCCTTTATTCAGAGTAACATTAGAAAACACAGCACTCATTCAGTGTTCAAACACATTTCCCAGGTAACTGCTGATAAAAGACCCTATTAACTAACTAATATTACGATTAAGTTATATGCTTTCTGAGAAAAGACTATATAATAAGGTCAGTTACCCTTAAAATGCAGATTTTTTTTTCCGACTTGACCCATTTATTTTAAATAATTTTAATATTGCAGAGGCTGGAAGACTGCCTAAGTCTGAACACTGGCTTCACTAGTTACTAGCTGAACGGCTTGAACACAATATTTTCTCCATAAGCTTACTGGATTAAATGACATGTGCATATATAAAGCAAAGACTGTAGGAAGCATTCAGCAAATATTTGCAGCTGTTATTATTATTAATGACTGTGTAAGAGAAATGGGCTTAGCAACTTGCCCCACTGGCTTAGGATACAGCAAAACTGGATCTGGTTCTGTTCACACAGAGGGGAGATAAATGACAAGCTGACTATAGGTAAGGCCAGGATGAAACAGACAGCACGGACTTTGAAAGCTGAAAGTAATCCTGCATGCCAAATTAAAGTAAAATTAACTTTTAGAAGGAAGAAAAGGGACCTTAACATTCAGAAATATAGAAAAGAGGCAGAAGAAATAAGAGGGTAGGCCATCAGAACCCACACTACTTAGAAGGAATGGCCAAAAAGAAAGCTAAAGACTCCTTTCAGGTTAGGCAGCTGGAGACACTGAGCTTCCATTCTTAGAAGGTATCTGTGGTCAGGAACTGGAAGATAGGCATTATAAAGGCATTATAATATTTTTTAAGGTCCTTCCCTAAAGAGTAAAAACTGGTTACCAAGAGAAGAAGGAAATAAAATGTATTTTTCTCGTTTTATGTGTATATACTTGATTCTAGTTATTTATGAGAGTATATTACAATGAAAGAATTAAAGATACTCTGTTTAAATAGTGTGATATAGCTAAGGACAGAAAACATTCCTATTCTATAGGAAAATACCTATTATAACTGTCATGACTTTTCAGTTTCCAAATAACCACATATCAAAAAATGATAATACTTCAAAACTGTAGTTATATGCAGTATAACAACACTTCAGTGAACAGCAGACTGCATATACAACAATGGTCACATAAGATTATAATATATTTTTACTGTACTTTTTCTATATTTAGATATGTTTGCATAGATAAATACTTACCATTGTGTTATAATGGCCTATGTTTGCATAGATAAATACTTACCATTGTGTTATAATGGCCTACAGCATTCAGTACAGTAACACTGCCATACAGGTGTGTAGCCTAAGAGCAGTAGGCTATGTCATACAACCTAGATATGCAGGAGGATATAGCCATCTAGGTCTGTACCTCTACAATATTCACGCAAGGAAACAGCCTGTTGACATAGTGCTTAGAATATATCCCCATCATTAAGTGATGCATAACTGTATATAAAGGTGTATATGTCTTACCACTACTCCTAATCTCTTTCTCTATTTGAAATTTCAATTTACATGATATAAATTAGAATAAAAATTAGCATCATCAATCTAACTAAAAGTATATTGTAATCCATAGAAAACAAATTTACTTGTTTCTAGATCTACGTCTGCTACTAACTAGCTACTTAACTCTTATCTCTGAGTTTGAAGATTTTAATCTTTAAAACAAGAAGAGATCCAGACACAGTGGTTCATGCCTGTAATCCCAGGATTTGGGGAGGCTGAGGAAGGCAGATTACTTGAGCCCAAGAAGTTCAAAACCAGCCCGAGCAAAATGGTGAAACCCTGTCTCTACAAAAAAATACAAAAATTAGCTAGGCATGGTGGCACACATCTATAGTCCCAGTTACTGGGGAGGCAGAGGCGGAAAATCACTTGCACCCAGGAAGCTGAGGCTGCAGTGAGCCGTGATTGTACCACTGTACTCTAGCCTGGGTGACAGAGTAAAACCCTGTCTCTCACCTACTCCTCAAAAAAACCAGCCAAAAATATTGAAGTAGTATGATATGCAGCTATATGTTTTCAAGTTATTGTTTTAAGTATCTGAGATTTTTAAAAAGTGTTTATAGCCCATGATTATTTCAGATTCTTAATGTTTAGCAAATAAAACCTAGTTTTTTGTTAAGAATTAATGAAATAGCAACGTGCTAAGAGTTTTTCTGTGTCTGTGTGTATATTGGTATATGGGTGTATACTGGAGTTGAGGAAACAAATTCCTAATAGCCCTTGAAGAGTTTTTATTGTAGGTACCTAAAATCACTCATACTACATTTTAAATTACATGATTGCTAGGGTAAACCTGCTGCTTCATATATCCTACTAGCAACTTATAAATGTTTTAAAAACTCAGACTCCAAATTAAAATTTAACTTCGAACCATTGTTTCATTTGAGCACATCCCTTAACCATTTACACTCTCAGTTTAGTGGTACATTATCTTTTCTTTTTACAGTCTCCAGTTCTTAGAATCTACTATTGTTCCTTACACAATACATTTTTTTGAAAAGTAGCTTGACATTTTCAAACAATTTAAAAAATAAAGTCCACACTCTGCTAGGCAATTTTCTTTCTGTTGCCCATCTTACCATTCCAGTTTCTTTATTACAGACACTTACCAGATACAGTACATATCCCCATTCTGGAGCTGTGGAATAAGAAAGGATTCACAGAGTTGCAAGGCTAACATAGTTTTGCCTTCTTTTTCAGTATTACAGATGATATCAATTCCACTCTTACAATCAGTTTTCAATAAATGCTGTAAGAGGAAAAGAGAAATCAGTTCATATCATTAAAAATATCCAAGAAGCTAGTTGCAATAAATGTTTAAACATTCAAAAGAAATTACTTAGATTTCTAGTTTTCTTCTACAAAGACAATGATGATGCACAGAAATATTTTCATGGTTTCACTGTACAGCACCTACATTTTACAGTGACTACTTTTAATCTCATTAATGTCCACAACCTAAAGGTACATACGATCCATTAGGAAAAGATTAATTACTTCACCTTAAGAAACAAAATAAACACGAGCATTTTACCTCTAGTACTTTATTTTGCAAGATCATAATGCTTCTTGGGTGTTTTTTTTTTTTCCCCTCCTGGCAAGCTAGCAGCTTGTTGGCTTTTATTTGACCTCTTCTCCATCACATCCAAAGTGCAATGTGAATAATACTTATTAATGAGTATATTTTATTGATTTCATCATTTGTTAATATCAGATTTTTCAACATGACCTTAAGTTATGGTGCCAAAAGAAAACACATCTAGATCATGTAATCCTTAAAGCTTTGGCATTACTGTGAAAGGAATTGAACAACAGTGGGCTACTATTTTTTTTTTTTTTTGGTAGGGTTAAAATGGTAATAGGCAAAAATAGTCTCAAACAATACCTCCCGGAATAGCTGATCTTCTACAGGTGACATAAACAGACATGTGAAGAGTGCTTGATGGAAGTATAAGTCTTTACTGATTTCTGGGTGATTTATACAAGATTTAATAAGAGCCATTGCTTCGGGTATGCGTTCACAAGCAATTAGGTATCTGGCACGTAGTTCAAAGAACAGTGGATTTTCAGAACTTAAATATTTGTTCACTATATTAAAAAGAAAACAGACTCTATTACTCTCAAGAAAAGATTCTCTCAAACTTTGTTCTTTGAAACTTTACCATTAAAATATGGTTTCTAATTAGATGTAACTAGTTAATGAAATAGCATTTTCCTTAGTAGGAGTTTATTTGTGAAAAGAATATTCAGTTATATGGTTGGAAAAAGGAAAATAAGAGTGACACCAAAACAGTGCTCAAGAAATATTTGTTGATTTCTTCTCGGTCTAAAAACTAAATAATAAAAACAAAATTTTAAAAAGAAAAATATTTTCTTCTTTCAGTTCATTAATATGTTAAAATAGTTTCCAAGTAACATGGGTCTGTGATGTCTTTTTAGTCTAAGATTACATCTTTATCTTCTTACTGCTCAATATTTTCTTTAAGATTAAAAGGCTGAATCCTAATCTGTCACATTAAAACCATGTTAGTTCACATCATAGATGTAATCTGAATGAATGAAAAAGTTGAATTACCAGAAAAATATATTTTATTTAAAGATAAAATTAATCCAAAAGTAGTGCCAAATAGGACTGCTTATTAATATACATTTATGTATCACTAAGGATAACTACTATTTTTACATAATTTTAAAATATATAAACACCATTAGCTACATAAGTTTATTTAGACCTAACAACAACCTTATGATGGGTATTATGTTACTAGCTTTACAGATTGCAAAACTGAGTCTCAGAGAGGTCAAATGACTTGCCCAAGGACAAAGAATTAAGTGGCAGAGCAGGAACTGGAACCCATATTTGTATGATTTTGAATCCAGAAGTATTTTAATTACTTACATTTAATTAGTAGCTTCTACAGTGCTTATGAATGTTTTATTTTGGCTTAAACATATGTCTTGCAATTCCGTTTACAATCTATGTTATGCATACGTTGATGTGTATAGTTAATGCAGAGATAACTTCAGTCTGGTCTTTACCCTAATGATCACCAACTAGAGAAAAGTCATCCATATAAATGAGGCTCTAGAGCAGCTTTTCCCAAAGTGTGAGGTGTGCTAGTACAGGTGTCAAAGGAGTATTTTTTATCTTAATGTAATTCCCAGCCTAAAAGGCCATCAGTCCTCAGACCAACCAACAACAGGTTTATTCTAGACCTTATGTTAGTGAAGCCTAAATCTCCCTTAAAATCTCAAACCTTCTTCTCCCTGTCCTCACTTCTCTTTGTCCAGCTCCTTCCCACTCTGGCCACATGTAATCTCTTCATAATTTCCTCCAGTCTATCACCCTTGCCTTTCCTATATTTGACTCTTCATACTTCTTCAGTAACCTAACTCTTCTTCCTCAGCTCCAGCTCTCTCCCTTTTCAGGTTTTGTTTTTTTTTAAATCCCTTTCCAAGATCCACACATCAAACACCAGTGTCCTTTTTATTCCTTGGGTTCTTCATAACACTGTCACATGTACCTTAACCCTACCCTCCTAGTCTTGTTCCATCTCCCATTCCATCACAGGTCCTCCTCCACTCAACTGCATTCGCAACTCACCCTAACCCCTTCACCTGTGACTGACTAATGGAGATAACCTGCTCAACAGGATATGTGGTATGAAGTGTCTTTCTCACCAAACCAAGGTCTAACTGGTTTCAGGATTGGGAGGTCTTGTTTTTTCCTCTTGGCTGTCTCATAACTGAACTCCATAGGCTCTCTCCACACTTTTAAATGTTTGCCACACTTCTATGCTTATTCACTATTGCTGAGCTTACATTCTACAGTTTTGGTGATCCAAAATGTTCTGGGGGTTCAGGAATAACATGGGGAACATTTTTATAAAGAATTAACTAAAAGAAGTTGACAAAGCCTTCTGCCTTGAAAGGAAATTTTGGCCTTCAAAGGACCACCGTTAAATCAGATTGGACAGGAGTTGATACCAAAGAAATATACAAGGGTATGAGACAAAACTTCTAATGCATAAAGTTTGGGAAATACTGCTCTAGAGTATTTGGCATTCAAATGTATTCACTCGGTAACTTATTCACTCATGCATTCATCATGTGATCATTCATTCAATCAGCAAATTAAGCATCTACTCTATACCAGGCACTGGGCTAGCTATAGGATATGCAATAATAGTGACAAAAATTCAGAGTTCCAGCCCTCATGGAGTTTCCTGTGTAAGGGAAGGGAGATTCCATGTGCTTTCATGAAAAGCAGAGTTTTTGTTTCTTAAAGAAAAATATGTTCCTACTTAAACAGATTTTAAAAATATAACTAAAGTGACAAAATATACTCTTTTTAAATAAATAACATCTAGTAGATGTGTAACCACTCAGAATTTCCATAATGAGAAATAAATATACCAAACCTGGTGTCAGAAATCACTTGGGGCCAGGTTAGAAAAACAAACACTTTTCATGTGAAAATACATCACTCCATTATTCAGTATTATAAAATGAAGAAAAATCATTGTTACTGCTCTAGTTAGTAATGAAAGTGTGTTTGCTTCTCACAAATGCTGGTCTGATTTTGAATCTCCTGAAGTACCTATCTCCTGAGATGCTGGCTGAGCTTTAAGGACAGCTTGCAACACTGGATCTTCCCATGGGCCACCATCTCTGATGATTCGAGTCACCAGTTCCAGATTCACATTTCCATATCTGCGGAGGTGATTCTGGCATTCCTAGGAGAGAAAAATCATTTGGCTCTGTGAATTTAAAGGGGTTAAAAACTAAACTTGATCATTATTGTCAATAAAATGACTGATGGCCAGCTATTAAATTATAAAAGAGAAAGGGTTACTATTGTAACTTAAGTAGGGTGTCAAAACCCCATGAACACAAATAGGCTTTATTGCCAAAGGTTATACAGTATGCATAAAACTGGATTTAGAAAATCCCATTAAAACAGGGATGATGTGTAACCTAAGGGAAAAACCTAAGGGATATATCATTTCTAGGAAAAGAACCAGGTTGCAAAAAACTGAAACTTAAATGTTTAGTTACATTTATATAAAGGCGCATAAAGTTCCTCTTAATAATGGCAGGCAAGAGCCTGACCAGAAAGAGAGAGGGCGGGGCAGGGGGTGTGGGGTGCCTTCTGAATGCAGTCTCTGGCTGGCAGGTAGACAGACGTCCCCTGTCCTGATCCCAAACGTATCATCTGAGTTGTGGCAGCAGGCTGGAAGATGGAGATTCTATTTCCCTTTATGGGATAATTAGATTTGCATTTTGGGGATAAAGAAATGACTGGTTAAATAAATAAATCTAACCTATAAATAAGTAAATCCAACCTCTACTTTGCTTTAGATTTATGATAAAGATGTACTGGTAAATTGGGCAATAGCTGTGAATTTGTCCATACATTTTCTGGGTTTTTTTTTAAAAGATACTTGAAATGTTTTTCAGAGAGTATGCTTGGACTTGTCATTAATTTAATGAATGTGTAAATTTCATTTAGTAGATTTAGACTTACAAGATTTGTTAAGTTTGATTATGCTTTTTGATTCATTACATACTTTGTTAGCTGTTTTTGTTTTTTGTTTTTTGTTTTTTTTTTTTTTTTTAGATGGAGTCTTGCTCTGTCCCCCAGGCTGGAGTGCAGTAGAGCAATCTCAGCTCACTGCAACCTCTGCCTCTTGGGTTCAAGCGATTCTCCTGTCTCAGCCTCCCGAGTAGCTGGAACTAAAGGGACGTGCCACCACACCTGGCTAATTTTTTGTATTTTTTGTAGTGATGGGGTTTCATCGTGTTAGCCAGGATGGTCTAGATCTCCTGACCTTGAGATCCACCCACCTCAGCCTCCCAAAGTGCGGGGATTACAAACATGAGCCATCACGCCCAGCTGAGGTATTGTTTTTCAAAATGGTTCAGAGAATTTAATTTGACAATTTTAAAAGATTAACTGAATATCTAGTAAAAGTATTATTTTTAAAAATGTACAAATAGAGCTTAAAGCCTTAAGAAAAAAACTAGATGTAGAAACTGGCAATGTTAAAAAAACAAAAAAAAAAAGCTGACTACTAATTGTACATCAATCAAAACACAACCAATTGCCAGAATTTAATTCTGTGCTCACAAAATCTCTCAGATATTAAAAACTTAGTAGAATGTATAAAGCAAAGCTTCAGAATTTAAAAAAACATATCTTCAAAAATGTTACTTATTAGATGAATCAAGGTTACCTATTCAAAGTGGCTACAAACGCTTGGCTTTTATTAAACTGTCCTATTCTTTCATTATTTGCTGAGATTATAAAGTGATTTCTATATGCCACATTGCATTCCTGGTTAAAAATATACAAAAGGTTTTACTTATTTTATAAGAGAACAAAATAGTAGAAGAAATCAAGTTTTAAGATAAAGAATCATTCAGTCAAAAAAGTCAAAACATTATTTATAGTCAAACATTAGGAAAATTAATATCTTCTAAAAGTTATTTAAGGCTGGTCCCAAATTAAGCAATTGAGCAAACAAAAATCCTACGAACAGTGGGCAAGTTCCTTAATCTCTGTGCTCTATCAGTCATTTCCTTTACAAAACGGATACTAGAACACCTACTTCATAGGATTGTTGTGAGGATGAAGTAATAGTATACAGCATGGGAAAGTGCTTGAGACAGTGTCTAGTAGTAAACACTCAAAAGATGTTAGGCACTATTATTTCTTCTAGTATTTTTTAAATAGTTTGAATAAATATTTTATTTTAGGACGTCTAATTTCCTTGGCATTAGGAAATTTCTGCATGTCCACATGTCAGCATGTTAAGAGCAGTCATTAAATAAGGTAAATATGAAGGGATTGATCATCCATGAATTTAACATACATGGAACATTATAATGATTTCTGGCAACAGCTTTATGGGTAAAAACAGTGATAACTGAACCCTCCCAAGATAAGCAAGGTAGCAAGCTCCCAAATTACTCTAGACCTACAGATTACTGCCCCCAAAATTCAACTAATGTAAATTAGCTTTTGGTCCAATCAAAGCAAAAGATACCATTCTACATAACTGGTCTGGACCCGTCAGCGGTTTATCATCAGATGAAGATCTTACTTCAATCTCAAATATAAGGACTTTGGGACTTAGCTACCAACTCATTCACCTATTGCACATCATGAATTCTTTTCTCGAGCCTGGTCTCTTCCATATCTCCCAAAATTCACCTCGTCTTTTCTTACCTGTGCCATTTCTCATGTCATTATCTTACAACTTCCATAAGCCTATCTAAATCCTGTATTTCCACAAAACCACTTTCCCCAAGAAACTTCCACTAGCTACCTTAATCTGTAATAAACTTAGTTTCTTTTCCTGCCATACTGAAAATTTGTACTAGGACACTCTTCTGTACATTATTGTGTAAGAGGAAAGCCTTGCATTACTATCTTAAGTGTTGATATCTTACTTTTTAAACCAAAACAGAAAAGGAAAAGTGTGCCAGAGAAGATACCTCCTCAATAATAAATAACCTTTTAATCAAAATAGGGTTGCATGGAAATCTGTGTAAATGGAAGCACTATGAATCTGAATGAAATGAAAATTCCAGAGTAAAGCTACACACCACCACCTCCAATTCACTCATAAGCAAGCTACTGCTGCAAAGTAAGACAGAAATGTAAAGGGTCTTCAATGTGGCTAATCTAATAAAAATATGATCTTCAGAATACAGTCATCTTTATAATACTTTGAAATGAGAATAATAAATCTTATTATACTTTCATTGGTTACCTCATAGAAAAGCAGTTCATAAAGTTATAAAATTTAAGGATGTTATATATTTTCTTTTACAAAAAGGCAATCATGTTTGATTTGCCATTCTTTTTTTTTTTTCCTGAGATGGAGTCTTGCTCTGTCTCCCAGGCTGGAGTGCAGTGGCGCAATCTCGGCTAACTGCAACCTCCACCTCCCAAGTTCAAGTGATTCTTCTGCCTCAGCCTCCCGAGTAGCTGAGACTACAGGTATGTGCCACCAAGCCTCTTTTTGTTGTTGTTGTTGTTTCGTGTTTTTAATAGAGACGGGGTTTCACCCTGTTATGCAGGATAGTCTCAATCTCCAATCTTGCGATCTGCTCACCTTAGTCTCCTAAAGTGCTGGGATTACAGGTGTGAGCCACCATGTCTGGCCAATTTGCCATTCTTTTTTATGGTAAGTTCCTGAGAATATTTACCTGATAATTTCAAAAATTTATCATTCTGAGTTTGCCGATATAAAATAAAGGGGACAGTTATAACAATGAAAAAGAGTTACTGTTTTTCAAAAGAAAGTTCTTACAAAGAAAATCATTTAAAATGAATGTTTGGAATTTGGAAGTGTTTGCATTATGATTGCTGTTGCCAAAAATCAGTGTGTAACCTATAATACTTCTATGATGCCATTAAAGAAATAATTTTCTGTTGAAAAAATTTTCAACTCAAGCATTTTAATGACTTTTGAATTCATTGTTAAAAGTGGTTAGTATTAAAGAAAACAGATTGACTTTAGGAATACAAATTTGGTAGCTAAATTTCACTTTCACATAATTAACAGAAGGCATTTTAAACTAAGCATTGTGATTCAGAAAAGACAATTTTCTTTTTTTTTTATTTTGTTTATCTTTGGTTTCTTTTTATTTATTTATTTTCTATTTTACTTTAAGTTCTGGGAAACATGTGCTGAACATGCAGGTTTGTTACATAGGTATACATGTGCCATAGTGGTTTGCTGTACCTATCAACCCGCCATCTAGGTTTTAGGCCCCACATGCATTACTTATTTGTCCTAATGCCCAGAAAAGAAAATTTTCTATCCTTTTAACTTACGACCAAACATCAAAGTAAACTGAACCTAAAATTGAATTACTGTATCACTGTGATACAATAATTTTGAAAATTTTTCAAAAATATGGCATAATCACACTACTGTCACTTTATATTCTTGAATTTAAAACATTCTTTTAGTTTTATCCTTTTTAAATGTACTTATAGTATGAGTACATGTGCATAAGTAACATATACATAAAGGGGATATGTGCTCAAACTGTATTTTAAAAACTGTATACTATATCAGAAATCTGGAGCTTCCTGGTCTTAGGTATTATTTGTTTTTATATTTGTGTTTGGGGCTGAATATAAAACTCATCTTTGTCTTCCATTGATTATCATGTCAGTTTTCTTCACCATCTCCTGATTTGCTTCTTCCTTGCCATTTCTACAATTACCAGTCTAGTTTAGGCCTTATCAGCTACCACTCAGATCACCAAACTCAATTTCTTCATCCCTCCCCAACTAATAAGGCAGACTTCAGGTTTTAAAATCTTAGACCATGAAGCTCTCAAGAGAGCAGTATAAATAAAACATTTATATAAACCTGTTCTTTTGCCATACACATTACTGTAAACATATGAGCATATCATTATTTATAATAGATTAGGGAATATGGCCTTGAAAGAATCCTGGGTTGAGAGTAAGACTTAGGCCCACATTCTGTTTCTATCAACCTCAACTCTGTTGGGGCTTAATTTCAGATATGTAAAATAAGGGAATTGGATAAAAAACTTTTAAGATGACGCTGTCTCAAAATTATAAAAATGTGTGAATGCTTGTAAGTTACATTATTTGATTTTAAAAAATAAGCAGAATTATATACTCATTGAACTATTTAAGGATATCCTTTTTGGGACTTTTAAAACATGAATAGTTAAAATATGAATAATGATTCCTTGTTTAATAAACTTGATAAAAAGTAACAGATGTACATGCTACTTTAATTAGCAGTTTTATCTGAAGAGGAAGCCAGTCATAACTACAGTAAAGCCATCAACTAAAAGCAGTTATTTTTCAAAATTAGTTGATAGTTACAATCTAATGGAAGTACAACCCTATCATTAGCATTTTAAAATAAATAATGAATTAATATGGCTACCATCTTAATGTCACTGTTCCCACTACTGTCACCATCCTGACCTGACCTACACAGGCCCTGAAGCAGAATTAAGGTGCATGCAAGATTTTTTGAGCACAAGTTCGCATACAAAGAAATAAATATACAATTTGATTTAGCAGAAAGAATATTAGAGTCAGTCCAGAGAACAGGTCACAGTACTGCCTAGGCTAGTTACTTAGTCTCCCATAATGGTTGTTTGACCGATTAATGAATCTCTCTGGTACTTAGTCTCATCACTTATTTAAAAATGAGACTGAACTTAATGCCCTGTGCAGTTCCTTATAGCTTACATTTTCTATATTTGATCTGGAAGAATAGAAATTGTTTCAAGCACTAATATGCTGAAAGGTCTAGTTGTTATGTATTAGGACACTCTACATGATCTTTCAGTGAACAATGAATGCTTCAATGATGTGTTCTCAGAGCTAGTTTTGAAGTGTTAATCGTAACACTGATTTTTAAAAGCAGTTACATGCCTACTCTTGACAACACTAGACTGCAAGATGCTCACAATCTTTGTTTATGGTTGGATGTACCCTCTCCCGAAATGACTGTTCTGTGTCATTATTCCCATGTCCGGGTATTCTGGCCTTTCCTGAAATGCATACAGTTTGTTGACACTGACAGTCCTATCTTTTGGAAGCTTGCTCTTGATCCCTTTGGCTTAACTGTCTCAAGTTTATTAATTACAAATTTTATGTTTGAAATAACTGTCTCTTGTTCCTCTTCAAGATAATTATACAAGTTCAACGGCTGAATTGAAGTAAGGTTTTTTTTCTCAAACAGAAGGTTATTTTGAAAAAACACAGAAAGTGAAAATCTTTTTGATAGTGATATATAAGAATTATTAAACAGGATGAACCATTTCAAATAGATAAAATCCAATGGCAAAACATCAAAGCTTTACCCATTGCTACCCAAAAATTATGTAAGAAATACAATCATCATGAAGTGATTTCAGAATCTGAAACTTTAAGTCAGTCCTTCCCTCTCCCAATGCTAAATGTATGACACGTTTATCAAATATGTTTCTTTCATAGATAGTGAAATATTTTCCTTATACTTTTTCTCACAGTTGAGCATGTTTCAACTTTTCTGCATATTGTCAAAGTAGACTCTACAAGTAATGTTTGATGTTTTCATCCCACCAATACATTTACTGATTCATCCTCCATCTGACTTTGCAAGGTGGTAACAAATGGACTATGTAGACAATACACCTATTTCGTGTGTGTGTTACGGGAGGCACTGTTTTATACAAGGTGGTTAAGGAAGGATGTTAGTTTTTCTTTAAAAAAATTCACCTAATCTTTTTTATTTCTAATTGACAAGTAAGAATTGTATATATTGGCCAGCTGTGGTAGCTCACACCTGTAATCCCAGCACTTTGGGAGGCAGAGGCGGGTGGATCACCTGAGATCGGGAGCTTGAGACCAACCCAACCAACGTGGAGAGACCCTCTCTCTACCTAAAATACAAAATGAGTTGGGCATGGTGGCACATGTCTGCAATCCCAGCTACTTGGTGGGCAGAGATCACACCATTGCACTCCAGCCTGGGCAACAAGGGCAAAAACTGTCTCAAAAAAAAAAAAAAAGAATTGTATATATTTACAGTGTACAATGTGATGTTTTGACATATGTATACACTGTAAAATAATTACAACAACCAAGCTAATTAACATATTCATCACCTCACATACTTATTTTTTTATAATGAAAACATTTAACATTTATTTCTATAGTAGTTTCCGAGTGTACAATATATTATTATTAGCCATAATAACCATAGGTATAATAGACCCCCAGAATTTATTCATCCAGTCTAACTGAAACTTTGTACTCTTTGACCAATATCTCTCCATCCACTGCCACCTTCAGCCCCTGGTAACCACCATTCTACTCTTGGTTCTGTGAGTTCAACATTTTTACACTCTACATATAAGTGAGATCAGACAGTATTTGTCTTTCTGCACTTGGATTATTTCACTTAGCATAATACTCTCCAGCTTCATTCATCTTGTTGTAAATGACAAGATTGCCTTATTTAAGATGAAACAGTATTTCACTGTGTGTGCGTGTGTCTATGTACACACACATACACATATCTCATACCATATTTTTAAATATCCACTCATTTATTAATGGACACAGATTGATTCCAATGCTGCAATAAATACAGGAATGCAGGTATCTCTTTGACATAATGATTTCCTCTTTTATGAATATACACCCAGTAGTGGAATTGCTGGATTATACGGTAGCTCTGTTTTTAGTTCTTTTGAAAAAACTCCATACTATTTTCCATAATAGCTTTACTAACTTACATTCCCATCAACAGGGTAGAAAAGTTCCCTTTTCTCTATGTCCTCACCAACACTTGTTATATCTTCTGGTTTTTGTAATAGCCATTCTAACAGGTGTGAGATGATATCTCACTGTAGTTTTTATTTGAATTTTTCTGATGATTAGTAATGTTGAGCATTTTTCATATGCCTGTAGCCATTTATATGTCTTTTTTTTTAAGTTCTGGGACAGTTTTGCAGCCAAGAAACATATGAAAAAAATTTCAACATCATTGATCATCAGAGAAATGCAAATCAAAACTACAATCGGATACTATCTCATGCCAGTTACAACGACAATTATTGAAAAGTCAAGAAACAACAGATGCTGGCAAGGCTGTGGAGAAATTGGAACGCTTTTCCACTGTTGGTGGGAATGTAAATTCAACAACTGTGGAAGACAGTTGTTGGAAGACAGTTGTGGAAGACTCCTCAAGGATCTAGAACCAGAAATACCAATTGACCCAGCAATCCCATTACTAGGTATATACCCAAAGGAATATAAATCATTCTACTATAAAGATACATGCACACGTATATTTACTGCAGCAGTATTTTACAATAGCAGAGACATGGAACAACCCAAATGCCCATCAATGATAGACCACATAAAGAAACTGTGGTACATATACACCAAGGAATACTATGCAGCCATAAAAAGGAATGAAATCATGTCCTTTGCAGGGACATGGATGAAGCTGGAAGCCATAGTCCTCAGTAAACTAACACAGGAACAGAAAACCAAACACCACATGTTCTCACTCATAAGTGGGAGTTGAACAGTGAGAACACACGGACACAGGAAGGGGACCATCACACAGCTGGGACAGTCGGGGTTTGGGGGGTGGCAAGGGAAGACAGCATTAGGACAAATACCTAATGCATGCAGGGCTTAAAACCTAGATGATGGGTTGACAGGTGGAGCAAACCTCCATGGCACATGTATACCTATGTAACAAAACTACACTTTTTGCACTTGTATCCCAGAACTGAAAGTATTTTTTGTTTTTTAAACTTCACAAAAGATGATACATCACAAAAAGAAATGTTTTATAAGAGAGGCATGCCTAAACTTCAGAAATGACTGTGGACCTACTTATCTTTCATTTGTTTGGCAAACATTTATATCGTACTAAGGGATTAACACTACTAAGTACTGGAGAGACAAGAATGAAAATCAGTCTCCACCCACTGGATCTAACCACAAAGAAAATACATGGGGATTAGTGCTTTGTAAGTAATGGTGGAAAAACTTAGCGGAGGGCGGGGGAGAGTCACACACAGTCCAAGTGTAGTTGAGTAGACCCAGAAGAGAGCTATCTGAGCCGAAAATATGGTAGCAGTTTTGAAAATTCTCCTCACAAAATGCCTTGCTCTTAAGCTGATATGGTTGTTTTCTTTAAAAGCCTTTTAGCTAGCACTACAAAGGCTGTTTTGAATACCAACATTAGGACTTTCCCAAATTAAATCTTTGGGAAACTTATTCCAAGTACTCCAGAGGAGAGTCATGGTCCAGGTTGTGAAGGTTTAGTGGAAAGTCAGTAGTTGTAAACACCTTCATCTTAGCTAAAAATAATAAAATCTGGCAGGTTTGCTGGTTTATGATGACTATATACTCTTATTAGGGGAGATCAACACTTGCCCCAGGAAGCAGGGTAGGCTTTTCAACTCCTTTCTTGTGGCTGGCTCCTTTGATTTTTTTCCACTTCCGCTATGGTGCTACTGCACTGAGACAATCTTGAGCCTCCTGCTTGGGAAATGATATCCCTTACCAAGTCCTAACTCTCTTTCCTGACTGACCCAAAGGAAAAGCAAGTAAAAAACAGGTTGTGTCTCAGGGAAAGAAGGCTTAACTAAGGCCTACTTCTAGCCTGAACAAAAAAGATCTTTGTGACTTATATACTGGCTCCAAGGGATAAGGATAGAATTTTATCCAAAGTCAGGGCAGGCTCATTAAAACATGTGCAGAGCTTTGGTAGTAAGATTTTTAGATTACTAGTTTAGCTGGCATTTCAGTTACTACCCTACAGTTGCTTTTTCCCCTTATTATTAAAAAATAAATAAATAAATCATCTTTGTTTCTCTTAATTTATAAAAGTAGCAAATGTTCTTTAAAAAACAAAAAACCTAACCATCTATTGGGCAGTAGTACTTGGACGTTCCAATGACATTTAAAGCTCAGTGTGTCTAGAATGAAACTTGATATCTTTCTATATGCTGCTCTTCCCCTTATATAATCACTGCTTACTTAACACAATGTCACCACTCTGTAGTTATTTCCACATAGATGCCCAAGAATACATTTGATCCTTCTCTGTCTTCCTTATCTCCATCCAATCAATACCATAACCTGAGATTTTAGTTCTAGATTATTGTGTGTTTTTTCAATTTCTATTTTGCTTTTCCAGAATCATTTGACATTAATGGAGTCTTCATGACAGCCATAATAAAAATGCCTTGCTTCTTCCTCAGGTCAGTCCTATTTCTTTTATTCTATAATGACCGTCTTTGTAAATCTTTATTTTGATCACCTGGCATACTACTTCCCTGTCCTGATAAAAGAACTGTCATTGGTTTGTTTCCAAGTACTGGAACTATCTATCTCTGTTGTCCTGTCTTATAAACTATAGAGCTTGACAGCTGTATTATTAAATCATATTTTTCCCCTTAAAAATCTCAAGGCATTATTTCTGCTGGCATTTATTACCATGGAGAGTTTTATTGCTGTCCTGATTTGCTTTTTTCCTTTGCGGGAATCCTGTTTCTTCTGCCTACATGATTCCTACATTTGCAGGAACTTTCCTTTATCCCCAAAATTAAAAAGGATAATCAAGATACATCTGTAAGTAATTATGAGCTGTAAATTAAATTATGGTTTAGAGATTATTTCCTTCATTAATTTGGTTTTTGCTGGAGTTAATCTGCTAATTGCCTTCACTGTACTTTTAATAGTTCCATCTCTATAATATTTAACCTCTACGTGTTCTTTGGGGTTGTCCCTTCTTTGCAATTTCACTTAATTTCATGGAAAATATTAGGAACTCAACATCGGCAAAAACATAAGAAATGCTTCAAGAAAAGTGATTTTTTTTTTTATACCTCTTATCTTTCCATTTTTAACTGATGATAACTGAGGTATTTATCCTCTTTAGTCATCTTCATATAGAATATCTAGAACAGAGACCTATTTTACTAACAGGTGAATAAGTCTCTGTCAAATCCTTCATGTCCAAACAAAGAGAGGAGGAGGAAGTTTATATGTAGTACAGTTTAATTTGTTAGATCATGGCCTATCAGAGTAAAGAGGAAGCTCCAGTAAAAGACAACCAAGCCTCTCTTGTAAGACTGTCTTATCTTCGGGTGTTGGGGCTGGCTGCATTTAGTCTGGGTCATACCCTCATTCTCTCAATGGAGAATGCTCACATGAAAAGCATGCATCTTTCTTTCTTTCTTTCTTCTTTCTTCTTTCTTTCTTTCTTTCTTTCTTTTTCTTTTTCTCTCTCTTTCTTCTTTCTTTCTCTCTCTCTCTCTCTCTCTCTCTCTTTCTCTCTCTCTCTCTCTCTTTCTTTCTCTCTCTCTCTCTCTTTCTTTCTTTCTTTTTTTTTTTTTGAGACAGAGTTTCGCTCTTGTTGCCCAGGCAGGAGTGCAATGGTGCAATCTCAGCTCACTGCAACCTCCGACCCCCAGGTTCAAGGGATTCTCCTGCCTCAGCTTCCCTAGTAGTTAGGATTACAGGCATGCGCCACCACACCCTGCTAATTTTGTATTTTTAGTAGAGGCAGGGTTTTTCCATGTTGTTCAGGCTGGTCTCAAACTCCTGACCTCAGGTGATCCGCCTGCTTCAGCCCCCTAAAGTGCTGGGATTACAAACGTGAGCCACCACGCACAGCCCATGTATCTTATTTTTAACGTGGGTATAAAAATCACTCAGGATTCCTGTTCTTTAGGTTTTGCTGCATGCCTGATGCACTTCTTAGAATCAGCAACAAGGATGAAACTGACCACACCCCAAATTCCTACCATCTGCTACTTCCTCCAGCCTCTGTTGTTACAAGCAGGGGATATAGGGGGACATGACTGTAAACTATTGAAAGGTCTCTCTCTATATAGATTATCTTTTCCTTTCTCACACATTTCCCTATTTCATAACATTCAGTCAATCCAGTACTGTTTGGCCCATCCTTCAATCTGGTTTCATCCCTGAGCAACTCACATAAAGCCCCCATCCTAATTTCCAGCATTGATCATTATTATTTTCCCTCATTTTACATTATTTTTGTCATTTTATTGGGAATCTTGAAAACTGCTAGATCTAATGACGATGATGAGGCAGGTGCATCATATGAGAAATGTAAACAAAAATGACTGGAAGCAAAAGGCTAAGAAAGATAACTTTAGAAGCCAGTAAATGGAATGTTTGGCTCTAAGAATGAAGTTTCCTCTAGAAACAACAGAGAGAAAAAATTACAGTCAGTAGGTAAGGAGTTAAAAATTTTTACTTGAACAACTCAGATTTTAGGAGATCAGAAATTCATGGAAGAAAATAATAAATCTAAGAGCTTGGTTTTGTTATTATTGTAAAAATAAAAATACAGGTAGTAAGACTTGAGAACCCATGCCCTTCACCAGACAAGCTCTACTGCCTGCCTTAAAAACAGTGACACGATCATTTTGCCAAGAATTGTGGCACTTTACTCATTTCACCCATAAAGTGACTATGCAGCAAGTACAGTTATTGCCCTCATTTTACAAATAAAGAAACTGATACAGAAATTATGAAATTGGCCCAAGATGGCACAGTGTAAGTAGCAAAGCTGGTAGCAAAACTCATAGTCGAAAAACAGGGTGGGAAACTGAAGTTAACTCAACTCCAACAAAGAATACCTTGGTATTCAAAGTGTGGTCCAGGGGCTAGCAGCATCACGATCACCTTGGAGCTTATCAGAGATGCAGACTGGCAGCGCCCCTCCCACAACTACTGAATCATAATCTAAATTTTAACAAGATCCCCAGGTGATCTTTATGTTCATTAAAATATGAGTAGCACTGTGTTTGTCCTACTTACGGGAGAAGAGAAAGAACACCATCTTATGCTGGTATGAATCTGTATGAAAGATGTATAGAAATGAACCACTTGGGGAGCCATGGTGCACTTGCACTAGTACAATAATATATTTTAAATATTTCAAAAGGTGACATTTGTGTTGTTATTGAATTGGTCACTGTATTATCAATATCAGTCAAAAGCCTGGAGAATTCATAAGCTTGGAAAATACAAGGTTTTAGGGAGATATACATGATGGACTACATGTGGCCCTTTCGTTCCTAAGGGCACAGGCCTGGGAAGCACCTACAGCAGAAGGTCAGTTCAGCAAATGAAGGCCGTTTCGCTAGGTAAAGGTAACATGGGAACAAAAGGTAAAACCTCTCCTAGAAGTTAGGAGTTGGAGGCTCAAGGAAATTCTGCCACAAAAGTGGCAGAAATGGCAGTTTTTTTTTTAAATGTAGGGGGATGGGGGTTGGTTAGTGGATAGGCTTAGAATCAGCCAGGATTAGAGACTGGCAAAGGATCACAGCAGGAGATAGAAGTATGCAAAACTGTTAACTTTTCCTTGAGAAACTTATTATTTTCATAACTGAATGGGCATCCTGCTTTCAAGGGAAAAAATAAAGGATATATCCCTTCACAAATGTTATGTTTTTGATACATTTAAAATAGAAGTTAAATACTGTCCCTCATGTACTCCAAACATTTCAGTGGTTCTCATTATCGCTGGTCAACCAACATCTCTGAGTTATTTCACCTCCCCATTTCATACTGAAATATCCTTCCCCAATACCACCATGCTAGCACTATCCCTGTCCTCCTTTTATTTTTCTCTAAGGAATCTGTCACCTTATAAATATTTTTCATTTATAAAGGTTTGATTTATCATCTTTCTGTCCCTATACCAGAATTGTTAAGAACTCCACAAGAGGAGGGTTTTTGTTGTGCTTACTACTGTTTTTCTCAGACCTGAATGCACAGCACTGTAAGGACTCAATAAACATCTGCAGAGTAAAAGTTCAAGAATGAATCACCAAGAATACAAGTGTTAAAAGAAAAATGGAATGGAAAATTTAAGTTTTAAATACTTGAATATATACTCTAATTGGAACGTAAGTTCCATGATGGGTTTTTTTTACCTCTTTTGCTGGATGTAAGAATGGTTAAAGTAGAATGTTCAATATAATGTACCTAATACAACAGTACTGGTTGTCTATAAGCCTTTCTTTTAACACCGTGGTAACAAATACAAGATACGTTGTCTGTATATTTCAGTTCTAAATGGGTGGTTAGAGACACTTAATTCCTAAGGGGAACTCAAAGTACATCTTCCTTTTACTTCACCGAGTGGATCAAGGTTCCTTCCCAATAAGTGGTAAAGAGATCAAATGTTATTTCATCTATAGGAGAGGTCTTGAATCTTTTGTCATTCCCATCTGAATTTACTCTTCTCTCCTACACCAAGTGCCCCCACCTCAAAAAAATAAATAAATTTCTGCCTCCGAGCTTGGCAACCTTATTATGAGAGAGAAAATCAAGTACAGCCAAAGGAAAACTAGCATGGGATAGACAGCCTGCTTCAAGTCTAGCAAAGAAGATCATTTTTCACCAGGGCTAAGTTCTAGAAATCTACAAGGGTTGTAGAAGGCTCTTTTCTAGCAAATGTGGAATAGGAACTCCAGCTATGAACTGCTTGGGAATATCATTAAAAATTAATTTTAAGAGTTTTCTTATCTGCCAGTAATAACAGGACCTTAAACATTGCTATCTTAGCAACCATTAAAAACTTATAAGCAATAAATAACCAATAAGCTATATTTAGGGGGAGCATAATGGCCTATTTTAAATGTAGACAAAATGTGAAGTAGTAAACTGTTTTTTTACCTGGAATGATCCAAGAATATCCTTTAAGGGCTCTTCATAAAACTCATCTCTTCCAAAGAACAGCAGCAACTCAAAGAAACTCCTAGAAAGAATAAGCAAATAACTTTCATTGCTGGAGTTCTGCTCCAATTACAAGATTATCAAATAGTAACAGCTATCTAATATCAAATATTTGACTTAAAATTTTTTGATTTAAAAAAATTGTACTCATCACTAGAATTCACATTATATTTTCTCTAAGACTTTAAAAGAAGTGCCTTCAAGAAGAATACAAACAAATATACTTAAGTTTCAGAACTATGGAATGAAATAATTATACTACTCATGCCTACAAATGACCACACTGCAGTAAAATTTAATGGCATACAAAGTCACAACGATGATGGCTATACATGGAAGGATCATCTAAACTGAAAACATGAAGTCCGGCTTCACCCTAATGTAACGGGACTCCAGAGAAAATCCAAAATCTCATTTTTTTTCAGGGTGATATAAGAGTTGAATAAAATTAACACAAAAACATAAGACAAGTTAGAGAATCACCATAAAACTCTAGGCCAATATTTATATTATAGCATATACTAAAATTATATCTAATAAATGACATGTGGTTCCTCACATTAGGCTTACCTTGATTATCCCACTCATAACAGGATTGCTCAAATTCTGTAGTTCCTCCTTTTTAAATAAATTATTTGGAAAATACTGTTACTAAATACTTTATGTGCTTTTAATAATTTATGAGTTCATAAAGAAAGGAACATGAAAAATTATAAAATTATTTATTTAGCAATCCAAAGTAGTACAGGTAACAAATCCCTCTAAATCCTATATCTTAATTCATGTAGCAGATCCTCAAGTGTGAATACCTGAGGTTGTTTCTTTTTTAGTAAATGGTTTTTGCTTTTAATCAAATCACTAATAAAGACTAAAATTATAATATATAATATAGCTATTGTAATAATAAAGACTAAAATTATAATATATAATATAGCTATTGTATAAGCTTTGAAACTCTAAGACCTAATATTATACGCACTTATAAATATAGCACAATTATCATACCCCGTAACCTGATGTTTTTTTAAATCTGACTACTACAAAATCTTAAAATATCAACAGACCAAAAACTTAAAACCAGTCAAAAGCAAACTGATACACTGAGGATTCTATGATGATTTCCTTAATTTAAATGCTTCTACAAGTTAGGTTAAAAAAAAAAGTCAATAACCCAGGGGAAAACTGCAAGAGAATATTTCACAGGAAAGAAATGCGAGTGGATTTTTTTTTCAAATAGGAAAACAAGCTCTTATTCATTAAGCCAAAATTATAAAGATGAAATGCCCTTTCTCCTATCATATTTGTGAAAATAAAAGAGATGGTGTGTTCTGTGATGGCTTTCGTTTACAGAAACAGGACCTGCTAATCTTGTTGGAGGGAATGTAAATGGTCCTATACTCATGACAATTTAAAATGTACACATACCATTTAACTCAGCAGTTCTACTTACAGAAATTTCATCCTCTAAATATACATAGATAAGTTCAAAAACATAAACAATATATATTACAAATGGTTTACAGTAGCTGTAACTGGAAATACTCTAAATGTATACCATAGGGTACTAAATATATCCATACAATGAAATATAATACAAATATTAGTGAGAATATAGCTCCATCTATATGAATAGATTAAAAAAATCCAAGATATATTGTTCAGCAAAGACACAGAGACATATACTCATTACATTATCTTTGTGTAAATGGGAATGGAGGTAAGGGGTCAGGGAAGGAGGTAACATGTACACCAATACATAAAGTTTGTACACTGTCAGACTATCTAGCGGGATATCCAACAAACTAGTAAAAGCAACCGACTCTGCAAAGGATAAATAAGAACTAGGGGTCAGGAATGAAAGGGATAATTTTGTGTTATTAATCCTTTTGTAATTATTCATTTTACTATTAATAAGTATGAAACAAGCCCAACATAAAGTACCTCTGGAATCTTCTCTATTCCTATTAACAAAGCACTAATTTACACCTATCTCATCTTTAAACATCTAAAGGACCTCCACTCTTGACATTCCGTACTTACTCAAAATCAACCTTCAACACAGCAGTTATTATCTTCCTAAAACGCAGAAATGAACCCACTGCTTACGGACTTGACAGACTGCTGTTTGGACTGTACCATCTAAAGCACAGAAGGTAGTGTGCATGCCCCACTACCACTTAGGAAATAACATGGTCCAACTCCATGATAATGATAGTAAAAAGAGAAAAACCACAAGCAAAATGATTGAATAAAGGCAGAACACATGGTTTAGCTACTTTTCCTTATAGGAAGCTTTAAGGAAGTCAAGTATTTATGAAGTAAGAAAAGGCTGAAATTACTGTAAGAATCTAGAATACATGTAGAAGTAGAAACCTCTCGTTTCCAACCTGTTGGATTTCTTGCTGACTGTATAAATGATCAACTAAATGTTTAGAGATCAACTTGTATAGCCCTCCTATGGAAGAAAACTCTGTAAGGTGCAGAGTAAATGAGTCCAAAACAGTACAAAGTAAAAGCCCAAAATATGAGTAACAGCCTACAATAAGGCTGGTAAACCACTGCCCACGGCCAAATCTGGCCCAAGGAAGGCCAGTGTTTGTACATTATGTGAGCTAAGAATGGTTAGCCATATTTATATTTTTTTAAGTCAAAAGAATCGTATTTCGTGGCAGGTGAAAATTACATGAAATTCAATCATCAGTGCCAATATATAAGGTATTATTGGAACAGGGTCATATCCATTTATTGACATACTGACTATGGCTGCATTTATACCACAGTGGTAGAGTTGCGTAGTGACAACACAGGCCTATAATATTTACTATCTGGTCATTTACAGACACATGGTCTAGCTGTTTGGGTTTGAGTCTCAACTCCACTACTTAACTGATTAATAACCCTGGGCAAGTTACTTAATACCTCAGTGCTTCAGTTTCTTTATAGTAATAGTAACCACCTCTTGAAAAGCACTTGGCACAATTCCTGGCACTTAGTGCTATAGATATTAGCTGCTTAAAACATATAGTACTACCATTATTATTAACATCACCATCCAAATTTTCTTCAACAATCTTCAGAGGTTTGTTCTGCTCCACTATGCGTATGTCAATTTTGTTGAAATATAACAGGCTAACTGTTCTTAAATTATGAATATTTTTAAAATATCTGATTAAAGTCAAAAGATTTCTTTCCAAAAATGTATTATTGTATCTAATATTTATCATTTTTCATGTTGAACATGTTTAATATGTGTGTACAGTAAATATGTTTAATATATTTATTTTTTTACCATGTTTAATATGTTAATAGTTTATGCATTTATTTATAAAAAATTTGGTTCATATTATGTTATGTACAGTTCATTTACCTAAACTGAAATAGTTATCCAGAATAATCCCAAACAGAATGATTCACAGTTCACTCTTGAACAATACATGTTTAGATTGTGTGGGTCCACTTGTAAACAAACTCTGACTTCTGCTAACCCTGAGACAGCAAGATCAAACCGTCTTCTTCCTCTTCCTCAGCATATTCAACACGAAAACAATATATTCACTATTCATTCAGTTAATGAATAGTGAATTACTTTCTTTATGGTTTTCTTATAACACTTTCTCTCTAGCTTCCTTTATTATAAGAATTTAGTGTATCATACATGTAACATACAAAATGTATGTGCAGCAACTATTTATATTATTGGAAGGCTCCCTACCAATAGCAGGCTATTAGTAGTTAAATTCTGGGGGAGGGTGGTCAGCACCCCAACCCCTGCATTGTTCAAGGATCAACTATACATACAGACAAACATAATTTGTGGTAAGACAAATACATGGTAAATGATATGCCTTTTGAATTAAAAAAAAAAAAATCCATGTTACATAATCATACCTATTTGCCTTTTATCAAATCAGTATGTTCCTATCTGCTATGCAAGCTAACTAACTAGAGTACTAATAAAGTCCCTATTTATGAAGCATATTATATTCTGTCATTTGGATGCTAGGAATTCAGACCATTATTTTCCCCCATGCAGTTATGCATCACTTACTGAAAGGGATACATTTGAGAAATGCATCCTTAGGCAACTGTGTCACTGTGCAAACATCATAGAGTGCTTATACAAACCTATAGCTAGTGTAGCCTACCATACATCTAAGCCATATGGTATATAGCCTATTGCTCTTGTATCACATTATTATACTGACTGTTATATGCAACTGTAACACAATGTTAAGTATTCGTGTTATCTAAATGTACCTAAACACAGAAAAGGTATAGTAAAAGTACAGTATTATGATCTTATGGGACCACTGTCTTATATGTGGTCAGTCACTGACCAAAACGTTGCTCTGTGGCACGACTGTATTACAAATGGTGATAAGGTACCAGACTTCCCTAAGATACACAGACAGACATAGAGTGTTTGATAATGATAAACAGAATTATTATTCTTTTTTGGATTTCTGTAGCATATTAGTAATTTTTACACTAAAATACAGGAAAGTAGATTTGTGCATTTATTTACTATAGGAAAATTCCACTAAATATGATACTTAACTATCCAAATAAAAAGAAATCCACTTACCAACTTAAGTAAAGGAAAATTAGGTCTACTCTACATGAATCAAACAATAATATAATAAACTTTTATTACCCACATTTTATTTAAAACACTCAACTTTTAAGAACTTTTTCTGTATATACTAACTGAAGCTTTGGTATCTTACAAAAGTTTCTATTCAGTCCTACTTAACAGTAACAAAGAGCATGTGAATGTGGGTAACGCTAAGATACTCAACCATTCTAATACACTTCAAAATATTTTCTTCAGTAACATTTTTAATGAGGGAGGAAAAAGTTAACAGTTTTGTTCCTATATATACTAGTGCTCACTTGTCCTCAGGGGATACATTACCAGACTCCTTCCCTCCCACTCAATTCCTGAAACCAAGGATAGTACCTAACCCAGTTTCCATCAATTTGAACATGTTTCTGTTCATGTCTCCCACTCACAAGTTTAATGCCTTTTCCATCTTAACTAAGCACCTTAACATGCACTGTGTGGCTTTAAATTTTGGAGTTTGAGGGGTGACAATAAAACTAGCATGAATTTATTTGTCCCTCATAATTTCAGAGATAGGAAATTTGTTGTCACTATGAGATTTTAGCAACCTCAGCATACAATTTTTTTTATTAAGTTGAGAACTTTCACCTTTTCAACGGAAGCACTTTATAGCTTCTCTTTGGCATATATGAATTACCAGTATTACTACTCTTGGCTTTGGAGCCACTATTGAGTAAAAAAGGGTTACTTGAACACAAGCACTGTGATACTCATGAGAGTTGATCTGATAAACTAGAGGGCTACTAAGTGACTAATGGGCAAGTGGCATATACAGTGTGGGTACACTGAACAACGGAGTAATTCACATCCCAGTTGGGATGGTGTAAGATTTTGTCATGCTACTCAGAATGGCCTGCAATTTTAAAATGTATTACTTCTGGAATATTGTATTTAATATTTTGGACCACGGTTGACTATGGGTAACAAACTGCAGAAAGTGAATCCACAGATGAGAGGAGACTACTGTACAGACAAAACTAAATAAACTACATTGTATTTTCCATAGTATGAATCACTAGGTACCTTGAATGATTCTCCCTCTGAAAACAATTAAAGTGCTGGATAAAACAGCTTTCCTTGACTAAAAATTCAAATAGCTACACCAGTATATTATTCCTACATTTCTAGACCGGACCCAGGACAGTTCAGCTCAGTGGGAGGAAGGGCAACAACCACTACCAAGGCAGTTCACACAGCAGCTGGGCAGAGCCTGCAGCAGCTCAGCAATGCCTCTGCTGCCAGACTGTAACTAGACTACTCCTTGCAGGGCAGGGCTTCTATGAAAAAAGGCAGCAGCACAACGGGAACTTATAAATAAAGCCAACCTTCCTGGGACAGAGCACATGGGAAAAGAGGTAGTTATGAGTTCCACTGCAGCAGACTTAAAAGTACTTGCCCAGCAGCTCTGCACAGAACAGAGCTCTCAATACAGCACTTGAGCTCTTATAAGGGACAGACTGTCTCCTCGAGCAGCTCCCCCCAACTCCTATACCCAAAGAGACACCTCATAAAGGACAGCTCAGGCCTACATCTGGCAGGTACCCTTCTGGGACAAAGATAACAAAAGAAGAAACCAGCAGCAACCCTTACTGTTCTGCAGCCCCTGCAGGTGATCCCCAGGCAAGCAGTGTCTGGATTGGACCTCCAGCAGTCCTGCAGCAGAGGAGCCTGACTGTTAGAAGGAAAACTAAAAAACAGAAAGAAATAACTTCATCATCAATAAAAAGGATGTCCACTCAGCGACCCCATCCAAAAGTCACCAACTACAAAGACCACAGGTAGATACATCCACTAAGATGGGAAGAAAACAGCTCAAAAAGGATGAAAAGACCACAAATCAGAACGTCTCTCCTCCTCCAAAGGAACACGACTCCTCACCAGCTAGGGATCACATAAGGATGCAGAATTAATCTGATGAATTCACAGAAACAGGCTTCAATAAACTTCCCAGAGCTAAAAGAACATGTGCTAACCCAATGCAAAGAAACTAAGAACCTGGAAAAAAGGTTAGATGAGATGCTAACTAGAATAAACAGCTTAGAGAAGAATATAAACGACTTGATGGAGCTGAAAAATACAGCATGAGAACTTTGCAAAGCATACACAAGTTTTAATACCTGAATCAACCAAGCAGAAGAAACAATATCAGAGATTGAAGATCAACTCAACAAATAAAACGAGAAGGCAAGAATAGAGAAAAAAGTGAAAAGAAATGAACAAAGCCTCCAAGAAATATGGGATTATGTGAAAAGACCTAATCTACATTTGAGTGTACCTGAATGTGGTGGAGAGAATGAATCCAAGCTAGAAAACGCTCTTCAGGATATTATCCAGGCAAACTTCCCCAACCTAACAAGGCAGGCCAATATTCAAGTCCAGGAAATACAGAGAACACCACAAAGATATTCCTCAAGAAGAGCAATCCCAAGGCATATAATCATCAGATTCACCAGGGTTGAAATGAAGGAAAAACTGTTAAGGGCAGCCGGAAAGGTCGGGTTACCCACAAAGGGAAGCCCATCAGACTCACAGTGGATCTCTCCACAGAAACCCAACAAGCCAGAAGAAATTGGGGGCCAATATTCAACATCCTTAAAGAAAAGAAGTTTCAACCTAGAATTTCATATCCAGCCAAACTAAGCTTCATAAGCAAAGGAGACAGAAAATCCTTTATGGAAAAGCAATTGCTGAGAGATTTCATCACCACCAGGCCTGCCTTACAAGAGCTCCTGAAAGAAGCACTAAACGAGGAAAGGAACAAGCAGTACCAGCCACTCCAAAAATGTACCAAATGGTAAAGACCATCGACACAATGAAAAAAATGCATCAACTAACAGACAAAACATCCCGCTAGCATCAAAATGGCAGGATCAAATTCACACATAACAATATTAGCCTTAAGTGTAAATGGGCTAAATGTCCCAGTCAAAAGACGTAGACTGGCACATTAGATTAAAAAGTCAAGACCGGGGAGGGACTCAAGATGGCGCGGTGAGAACAACCCAGGATTGAAGCTCTCGGTGAATGCGCAGAGAGGGTGAGTCGGGGCCGCATTTCCAGACAGATCTTTGTTGCCCACAGAACGGGGAAATTCCCAGGTATAAAAGAGACGCTGGACACCAGGCAGAGGTTTGGGCCGGTGCAGCCAGCAGCCGGCGCTGTAGCACAGCGGCGCTACACAGCGCTCCGCGCAAAGCGCACTGGTCCAGGTGCCCTGTCGAACTGGCAATCTGAGACATGAGAGGGCTGAACTTGAGACTGAATGGGACTTGGACAGTGAGCCAGCCCAGGAGATTACAGGGAAACAGCGTTTGGGGTAGCACAGTGGGACAAACAAAACGGCGATTCCAAACGCTCCAGGTGGAGAGGTTCCCAGAGGGCACAGCTGAACCCAGGATGGTGCAGCTCCATGGGGGAAGGGCGTCCGCCATCACCGAGGCAATCTGCTCCTACTGAGGTACACGCCCATTGCTGATGCAGCCTGCCGTTGCCGAGGCAACCCGCTACAACAGAGAGACTCTGCCGCAGGGCGGAGCCCATGGCAGCAGGGCGGAGACCGCACCAGCAGGGCAGAGACTGCAGCAACAGGGCGAACCTCACACCAGCAG